CCTCTCTTCCTCCCCAACGCCCCCCCCCCCCCCCCACCCCACCATTAAATCCGTTTTGTCTGGTTCAACTGGCTCAAGTAGAAAACACCCAGTGGCCGGTACAGTCTGGTTAAGTTGTTTTTTTCAGGCTCTGGTGCAGGCATCCTTAATCCGATTACTGGCTAATTGAGGCAACATAAACCCAAACACTCTCGACCTTCACAAACACAATTATCATTCCACTCCTCCATATACTTACATACATAAAACCAAACATACACCCAAACACTCTCGACTCCTACACACAGCCGCCATCTTCACATACTTTCACCCCAAAATCAAACCGACACACACATACATACACAGCCACCTCACGCACATACGCGCATACCTAAAAACAACCCCCACAATCACACATTCATAACCACTACACACACACAACCCTTCCCACACACCCTACTACCTTACTCACGTACACAACCCACTTACACACACACAACCACCACCCCCACATACTTGCACTCATAAAACAAACCCCACAATCACACTCCCGCCCACACAAGTAGATTGTTTCATCAACCAATTTTGTCTGCTTCTCCTCCATCTAACTTAATTGTCTTCTTCTTTCCTAAAAACTAATTTTGTCTGCGTCTGTCCCATCAACCAAATGTGTATGCTTCTATTACATCAGACAAAAGCCTTTGCCTGTGTTCCACCAAAGTCCACTACACTTTAAAAAAACGTGTTCATGCTTTATTTTCCTTCACAAACAACCCCACCCACACTCCTCCCACTAATCTAGTACCCACCCACACACCTCCCACTAAGCTAGTACCCACATATACACTAAGCTAGCACCCACCCACACACCTCCCACTAAGCTAGCACCCACCCACACACCTCCCACTAAGCTAGTACCCACCCACCCATACACTAAGCTAGTACCCACCCACCCATACACTAAGCTAGTACCCACATATACACTAAGCTAGCACCCACCCACACACCTCCCACTAAGCTAGTACCCACCCACCCATACACTAAGCTAGTACCCACCCACCCATACACTAAGCTAGTACCCACATATACACTAAGCTAGCACCCACCCACACACCTCCCACTAAGCTAGTACCCACCCACCCATACACTAAGCTAGTACCCACCCACCCATACACTAAGCTAGTACCCACCCACCCATACACTAAGCTAGTACCCACATATACACTAAGCTAGCACCCACCCACACACCTCCCACTAAGCTAGTACCCACCCACCCATACACTAAGCTAGTACCCACCCACCCATACACTAAGCTAGTACCCACCCACCCATACACTAAGCTAGCACCCACCCACACACCTCCCACTAAGCTAGTACCCACCCACCCATACACTAAGCTAGTACCCACCCACCCATACACTAAGCTAGTACCCACCCACACACCTCCCACTAAGCTAGTACCCACCTATACACTAAGCTAGTACCCACCCATCAACCCCCCCCCCCACTAAGCTAGTACCCACCTATACACTAAGCTAGTACCCATCCATGCACCTCCCACTCAGCCAGTAGTGGTCAAGTTGTCCACAACCCCCCAACACAAACAAATTAGGGTACAACCCATCTGAATAAAACGTCGCCCCAGTATTGACTGACCTAAACCACCATAACGGACGCGCCCATTTCTGTCCAAAGCTGATAACGCCGGTGTTTCCACAAACAAGCTGATGAAAAATTCACCAGATCGATTTTTTTTTTACCACTATCATCCCATGAACCTTTTAACAAAATGGCAGATGCACTCTCTTAAATAAATGCTACCACATATTCCTTTTATAATTGTACATTTTCTATTTTTTAAAAGGATTTATACATAAACACATACACTTGTACATGCATATGCACATACATACACTTATATATACATACACATGCACATATATATGTGTGTGTTTTGTGTGCGTGTGTGTGCGTTTGTGTGCGTGTGTGTTTAAAAAGTAAACTTCCGTTTTCTGCTTTGAACATATTTTTCCATCATTAGCTGCGGGGTTTTAAAAAAGGGTATCTGCGTTATAACTTTTTATCAGTGTTTTCACAGGTTTGATAACAAAATTTTTTTAGTAGTATCTGTAGACAAGTTATATCAGGGCTCCACCTTTGGGATCATGCGCCTAGATTTATGAATGGCTAGACGTGTATGCACCTTATATCATACCCCCTTATCATTTTTTTAATCCTGGGGAAATCTGCCTTTCGACCAGCAAAAAAAAAATTATGTAAATTTTTTTTTTCGCTGTTATTTTTTTTCAAACTTAGGTTTTAGTTAACTTGATAAAAATAGTGATTTTAAGTCGCTTTAGAAACAATGTCTTTGCAAATTACGCAACCAGCGAAATTTCCCTCTCAATAAAAGTGGTGAGTCTTACATTGCGATAGACTTGATAGAGCATTTTGCCACAGGCTTTAAAAAAAATCGTTTTTTAAGAAATATAGAAAAACGTTGGGTGACTTCGATGTTAAACTTACCGATTGTTTAAAGCTCTAGGTTTTGTCTAAGTAAATAAACGTAACTATGTTACTGGTGCAAAAAAAATGGAATTTTAAGATAACAAGTGAACGAATAAGTGTAGTCTACTCCGTCGTCAACCAGTTTTACAGTAAATGAGTACATCTTATGCAAATGAGGGTAAAATTTACCTATCTCTTAATTGTAACAGCTGTGGGTAGTCTAAAGGGTTAATTTGTGTGCTTTTCTTTTGGTATCAAGAACCTGTCAAATTACCTGATCGATCGTTTGCTTATCGCCATTTTTAAGATCTCTTTCGGCGATACTAGTGGACAGTATCTTGCCAGATCAATAAAACTAGTTTCTTCTTCAGGAAACAAAAAACATTTTTTTTTGTCTTAAGAACAGTAATGAACCTGATTTTTTTTATGCTAGCAAAGGCTAGCAATGCTTACAAATGGTTGTTTTTTATATAGATGGATAACTTTTACTGTTGTATGTATTAGACAAGACTGCAATATTCATAAATATATGTCAGGTTTTATTTTATAGAACGGCAACTTAGAGATTTTTATGGGTGACAAAATTGTCATATTCAGTCATATTTATGGATTTTTCTTTCGAAGCAATGAGAGAGAGAGAGAGGGGGGAAAGCGTGGTGGGGGGGGGGGGGTGAGAAAGAGAAATTACATGTTTCCATGAGAGATTCAATTATATGTGATAAAATTATTTGTCGATAATGTAGTATTAAAAAAATGCCCATCTTGCAAAATAACAATACAACCTTGTAATTTCCTGTTAAGGCCAATACAAAGAAACATTTTACTATTATTTTGGATTCTGTTGGGCTCTTAGAGAATAGCGTTAGGCCTTGGGTTAGAATTTACTTGAGGCAATGTTCAAGTAATTTTTAAAGTACGTTAGTGTGTTGTTTTTTACTGCTAGTTTCGATTTGCTATTATCATAAAGAAAACAAAATGAGGTAGCTGTTAATGCACGATTTTCCTGTATTACAACATCACCGTTGCTCTAGATTCACATCAGACTTTACTTTGTCCGGCCATGTTTAATTTTCAGTCTGTACTACGTTGTATTCGCCAAAGAAAATTCTAGCAAGTCTATTCTATTTTTAGACCGACGCACGAACACTCGTGCGAAACGATGAATTTTTAACCAGTGCTAAAACGGGATTTCCCGGATGAAGTGTGGTAGAGTTTCTAAAAGGCGAAACAACTTTCTGAACGCGCAACTTACTTCAAGTCAATGACACGGAATTTTTGGTTGCGTATGGTTTGTCACTAGTGAAGTTTCCACTGTCTCTTTACTAGACAACCTCGGTGTATGCTGTCAGTGACTAAGGCGTTTTATCGTTAACACAAAAGAAACTCATTATTTGAATGACATAGTTGTTTTAATTTATATGTTTGTTAAAAGGTTTTAAAAGACACGAATGTATAGAGCGTGGTGCTAGCATGAACTGCGTCGTAATCTGGGTACATTGAATGTTGATTGCGTTGAGTACCCTTCCGATTGTAATCAATGCAAAGTACAAAGGTTGAAATCGTGAATCCACAACTTTATGAATTCCTCGCTAAATTATAGAGATCTGTGTAGACCACTTGTTATTGAGATCAGCTTTTGTAGTTGGGATAAAGATTGTTAAAAAATCGAACGTAACATTACTTTAATGTAGTTTTTTATAGTTATTGGAGCGGCTCCCTAAATATCGCAGCTGTTTAAAAAAAAAAACTACGATAGACTGCTGACCATTTATAAAACGATATCACAATTGAGAGCATTTAGATGCCAAGTTGTGTCTTCCTACTAGTCTCCTCTTCTTCCCTCTCCTCACAGCCAGCCCCACCCCACTCCCACATCCCCACCCCACCCCACCCATCCCCCACCCCAAACCCTAGTTACATAATGGCAGCATCCATCGATTTCACGGACGTCGGCGTTGTTGTATGGGGCGGGGTTGTTTTTCTCCCCCGTCACCTCGCCATCCTGTTCAATTTACTATTTATTTTGGAAGGTCCTCGTCGTTATTTCACAGATAAGTTGATGCTTTTAGCTAGATACGTGTATAGCTAACCACTCTCACCTCAGGTTGAATCGTAGTGATTCGCCTTTTCTTTTTTTTTTTTTTTTACTGTAGAGACCCTTGTATGTAAAGAAAAGAAATTTGGGTTTAAATGGATGATTTCTTCTTCGTATTTTTCATCCTCCAATTCATCGATTTTCCCAATCCTCTATCTCCCATATTCCACTGTCGGTTTATAATTGTATGAGAGAATTATCTCCCTTACTTATGGGCACTTAAATCGCCCCGGTTCCCTTATGTTTATCTCCCTTTTACTGGTCTTTCCTCTCGGCCTAACCAACTACTGTGTGTGCCTTGTTTAGCGAGTGTGTGTTTACAAATGATGGTATGGACGATGTTTAGCAGGGTATCTTTATGTCAGAGGAAACTATCTCATTTGTCTCTGTGTAATCGGTGTGTATCTTTCTGTTACAGATACTGTATGGGCATCGATACTACAGATAGTTCTTCTTGTTTTATGGGCAGAGGTAAGAGACTATTATTCGTTTTACAAATAAATCTAAAAATTCCATTATTTTGAGCTGTATTGTTTTGTTATATTATTTTTTAAGCCATTTCAGATATTTTAAAAATAAATGCGCTCCATTTATGTTACTATTGTAACTTCGCTGTAATGCATTCGACCAGCAGCTCGGCATAAAACTATGACATGGCTTTATTGTTTACTAATAGCCTCTTCCGCTTGTCCAAATATGGAACCACCGCCATATTGAAATGTTTTGTGTGTTTAGAATTGAACGCATAGCCGCGGTTCTTTTGCTAACACGACAAAGTTTAACAAAACTCGACACGTACATTATTAATGAAAAGCGATTTACAAACATTTATAAACCATCAAATGGCTCTCCTGTTGTCAATAATCAAACGGTCTAACACTCTAAATGAACGGTGCGCAATCAATTTAACGATAAAACGCGGGTTTATCAATGAGGAGTGCTGTAGATTTTAACTATCTCGCACTAAATGGCTTTCGAGCCAAATATTGATTGATTCGGGTAAATTTTCTCTAATTAAAGATTCAATACAACACAGGAGAGTGGAATTTGCAGGGTGGCGCTGATGGGGGGGAGTGTCCAAAATCTATTACAAGCATCTTGTGTCAGCATTTTCACAGTTTTTGTCTCTACGCTTCCCTTATAAAACCAGTACACTAAGGCGCCTCTCCCATTTTCTCTGATAATATTATACGTAAATTTTACTCATTTTTGTTGTACTGATACAACATTATGGGCCGTAATCTTTCGAATAATAACCCGTCCGTGGCTAAACCATTTCAACAGGCATTTGACAAAGTGGTAGTCGATAAATTGTAAGCGTTATTTTGAGCACCCAGACAAAAGGTTGTTTATGTTATAAGAGTGTATTTATTTAATAAACGTCTATTATTTCTATAGATGTACATTTATGTTGACCTTCTCTTGCTTCCCACAGCACTAATAGTGCCTCCCAGTTCGGAAAGCGCCTTGTTTGAGTTGTTATGCGTTGATTTTTTGTTCTTCTTTTGTGTGTTGCGGAAAGCACAACTTAGAAGATATTCAATACTCTATTGATAAGTATGTTAGGTAGACTAATTCCTTACCGTTTTTACGCCCCCCCCCCCACCGGTCTGTATTTGTAGTCCACGCGTCTGTTTAACTTTCAGTGAAAAATATTTGACGCGTTAGATTACATTTCTTAAACAGATTTCTGTGCGTTTTAATTACTTTCGTACAAACAAACTTTGGACGTCTAGTTTCATTGTGTGAAAAAATAATCTACCACGGATGACCTGCTCCCTGTGTTAGATAAAAGTGCCAAGTTATGACACGCATGGTTGGCTCGGGTCGCTAACTGAAGACACAGGAATATAAGTCCTAGTTAACAGAGGTGCAGGAATTTCTCCTAACCCCTTCCCTCCACCTACCCCCCTCTCCCTCCCCCCCCCCCCCCCCGTTACCTCACACCAGTTCAAATATTTGTCCAACAGCCCGAACGCTTGGTGAAGGTACTGTGACATTAGAGCTAAGGTCAAACTATAGTCTCCTCTGTATACCGTATCAAAGCACCTCACAAGGTGTTAGATTTGCCTCAGTGGCTAAATTCACCTGCAAAATTATCCACGTCGTCTGTTCATCAAGTTCCGGAACTTGTGTCCAGTTTGAGTACAACCGACTGACCTTGACTTTTAACCCACACACAAAATTGTAATACAGTGTGTCATGTCACGTATATCACGTACTAACTTGACCTCGAACTTTTCACGGGTCACCGCATACAGCTGGGATCACCCTCTCCATTTCCATTTATTTATAGCAAGGCGCCGCAGCGTGTTCGAGGTTTCTGTCTCGTGGGACTAAAGTTGATTATCGATCTTGGGCTTATCGATCAGCCAATAGACGGTCTCGATTGGAAATATTCTTAAATATAAAAGCTTCAGCGAGACTGGCTGTCTTGTTAGTTCTAAGCTAGGCTCAGTGTGTAAGGTCGTTTCTATCTGGATAATGGATGATTATGTTGGGATTTGTGGATAGTATATCAAGGTAAAGTGTATTCAACATCAAGAAACAATGATGAATTACTAATGGAGTAAGTCTTGTATTCGACTTAGCACGTGATTTTTGTGACCATTCCTAGATTTAACTGGGAAAGCGAAGTTGTAAAGATAATTGTTATCTTAAATCGTAGACATAAATTTTATATGTAGGTAAAACTTTCTTTACGCCTTCGCTATGTAATATCACAGTTTATATACGGATTTTTTTAAAATACGTAGGCCTTAAAACATGAACATTAAACATTAAATAAGCATTAAAATCACTATGTATATGTATGTATATATATATATATATATATATATATATATATATATATATATATATATATACATATATATATATATATATATATATATATATATATATATATATATATATATATATATATATACATATATATATATATATATATATATATATATATATATATATATATATATATATATATATATATATATATAGTTATTTTAATGTTTTAAGGCCTACGTAATTAAACAAATACACATATAAAGTGTAACATTACTCATATTTTAAGATATGTAGCCTACACGAGAGTTTTCCGATGGAAAAAAGATGTATCTTATTTTGGCGCCTTCGTTAGTATTGTATTTAGTGAGCCTATACAAACAGCTAGAATACATAACATTTTAGAAAGGAAAAAAATTACGTTCTAGTTTCATTCCGTGTATACTACGATTAGAACAAGTATCTCAATGTTATTTTAAAACACTCTAGCAAAGAGTATAAGCTATTTTCACAACTACTTCCTTTGTTTCATTGGATATTCCCAGTTTATTTTACAAGTTCTCAAGCCTCCCATTCATAAGGTTTAAGATTCTGTATTGTAGTAGACTACATAGGCCGAGAGGCACACAGCGTACGATCATGTAGTGACAAAAATACTCAGTGTTCTGTAAGGGACGGATAGTGTAGTGAAAGAATGACGACAGTGTAGTATGGAATGTACCGATTGCTGTTATATTAGTTTAGTATGTGATTTCTTGTGGATAGATGTTCTTTAAAGAAAAGAAGTTGTCGTGAATTTGATGGTCAGTCTGTTGGGTGTACGAGTATTATCTTTGGTTAGTCAGGTATGGCAATGTTCACCAGTTACACGTGGTTTGGCCTGTTACACGTGTGTTGGCCAAGTATACGTAATTTGGCCAGGTACATGTCGTTTTGCTAGTTACACCTAGTTTGGCCAGGTACACGTTAGTAGGCCATGCACACATTGGTTGGCCAGGTACTAGTGGGTTGGCCCGGTACATGTTAATTTGCCGGTTGCACCTGGTTTGGCCAAGTACACATTAATTCGCCAGGTAAACACGAGTTGGTCAGGTACATGTGATTTGTCCAGGTACAATTGAGTTGACCAAATACATGTGATTTGTCCAGGTACATTTGAGTTGGCCAGGTACATGTGTTTTGTCCAGGTTCACTTGAGTTGTCCAGGTACATGTGATTTGTCCAGGTACACTTAAGTTTGCCAGCTACATGTGATTTGTCCAGATACATTTAAGATGGCCAGATACATGTGCTTTGTTCATGTACACTTGAGTTGGTCATATACAAGTGATTTGTTTAGGTACACTTGGGCTGGTCAGATACATGTGCTTTGTTCATGTACACTTCAGTTAGCCAGATACATGTGATTTGTCCAGGTACATTCGGGTTGATCAAATACACGTGGTTTGGCTAGACACACGGGAGTTGATTAGGTGTACAAATACATATTGGGTTGGTCAGATGTACGCGGGTTGCTCAGGAAACCTTGATTTGACAATGCACAAAAAATATTTTTTATTTAAAACGAGCCGGCCCGCGGCATAACATACGCCGCTATTTAGTTGTTTCTAATTTTCAATAATTCATAATTTGTGAATTCGACAGTACCAACGCTGACACTGAAAATATTTCTTTAAAACACTATAAGTAGCTCGATAAGGACCATAACCCCCCCCCCCTCCTTCCTTCCCTCCCCCCCTCCTCTCCCCCCCCCCCCCCCCCTACGTTTAAAATCGTTGGCTCTGCTTGTAAACATTTAGAGTGAACACAGCTCACTAAAACCATGTAGGGGTGGGGAGGTAGGGAGAGCGTTTGCAGCTTGTTTTCTAACGGCTCGAAGAAGAGAATTATATATATAGATACCAACATGTTTTTTTTTCCCTACCGTGGCAGTAATCTTGTGAAATATCCCCGGACAAGTAAGTTACCCATCTCATATGGCCTTTCTCCTCATACACACCAACACCTTATAGTTGATCACGGCCTCCATTCCCTTGTACCTGTGGTCCTATCGTTAATCATGTCCCCACTCCCATACCTAGTGCGTGTGCTCCAATCTCCCCGGCATGGCTTCGTTCCCTGGTCCCCTATACACGTGAACGTTGACCTGAAAATATTTGAAAACGATAAGGTTGTCATTCTTGAGAACATGCTGGGTTTTTTTTTCAGGGAAAGGGGGGGGGGGGAGTGTAGAGATGGTCATTTTTGTTAGTTACGGACGTTGATAGTCAGCTATAGAAGTAAAAGTTATTAGTTTAAGGCTTCAGAAAAAGCAGAGGTATGTGGTAAATGTTTGTTTTTTAAAACGTTTTTCTTAACTCAGCTTCGCGTTTGTTTGTTTGGATGTTTGTTGTTAAAATTGACATCGAAAATTAGCCCACTTCTGATTGCTCTAGAGACCTGAAATTTGGCATGCATGCTACTTTCGCCTAACAATTTCAGATGCAATCATAAAAACTAGCAATTAGTGACCGTAATTAGCTTAATTTAATTACGCCCCAAGGACCATAAAATTGAGGACATGATTTCTAAAGATACCGACAAGACTGCAGTCCTATTGACACAGTTACTTCGGCCCCAATCGATGTGAGCGCGCTGGCCGTGATCGTATAGTGGTTAGTACTTCGCGTTGTGGCCGCGACAACCCAGGTTCGAATCCTGGTCGCTCAAGATTTTTAGTCCGTGTATTTATAAACACTTTTTTAAAAACCACGTTTTTCATGTGTAGCAACGGACTAAAAAGGAGAAAATAAAATACTTAAAAATAACTTTTTAAAAAACCACGTTTTTTATGTGTAGCAACGGACTAAAAAGGAGAACGGACACGGTAACACATTGTTAACGGTGACACGGTTGGTACGCTGGGCATGCTAAAATACACATAAACACGTTTTTCCTTAACTCAGCTTCGCGTTTATTTGTTTGTTTATGGGAGATTTGATCACGTGATTCGTGAGTAGATCTCCACGCCAGCAACGTAAATGACACCCTTTCTCTGTTTAAAGCGTATCGGTCGCTCAAGATTTTTTTAGTCCGTGTATTTAAAAACACTTAGTCAAGTCATACTTAATCAAGTGATTAGATAAAGTAGAAAATAAACTATATAAAAAACTTTTTAAAAACCACGTTTTTCATGTGTAGCAACGGACTAAAAAGGAGAAAATAAAATACTTAAAAAAAACTTTTTAAAAAACCACGTTTTTCTTGTGGACTAAAAAGTAGAAAATAACTATTTACATACATTTGATGACAAAAAACGTGGGTCGGGCAGATGGGTCGGGAAATTTGATAGTGAACGTACCCACGTTTTTTGTCATCAAATGTATGTAAATAGTTATTTTCTACTTTTTAGTCCACAAGAAAAACGTGGTTTTTTAAAAAGTTTTTTTTTAAGTATTTTATTTAGTGTTTGGTAGTTTGATATAAATTACACAACATACGGCGAATTTTCATTGCTAAATAACAAGCTTATAATAGCTAGTTGTATCTGTCGTATTTTTTGTCGTTATATCTCCGGACTATCGTTTTTTTTAGTTGTAAACGCTGTATCTTTTTAAATTAACAATAGCTGCAACAGATTTGTCTTGTGTTGATATTTCTATAAAAACGTGTAATGAAATTACTAGATTAGTTGTGTACTGAAACGTTTGGCGTTTGTTTTTTTGTTTTTTCAATGGGACGCTAATCTACGACACCTTGACGACGTTTATTACATGCGTACTTAAAGAGAGGCGTCTTTGGCATGCGTACTCACATTACTTTTTAAAATGCTTACTCAAAGCAAAAAATATATGCACGACTGATAGACCTACGACGGCCTTTACAAATGGCTTCTACTCAAAACACTACTACGACGTCATTAACAAATGCCCACCAATAAGAACTGCGTATGACATCTACTCAAAACATATAGTCTTACGACTTCCATTCATAATACTACAGGTTTAATACCTCACTCTATAGCATGTATTGGTCTCTGTTAGTTGTTGTTGTTGTTAACTTCACCGATTACAGACCCGCATCTCGATATATCAACGAGTTGTGTCCCCGTCTTAAGAAATTTATATTTGGAAAAAAAAATAGTTCTCAGCCATATTTTTTTTTTAAGTTGTAGCCTATAGGACAAATATAGGAATTTAAAAAAAAAAAAAACTACTGCGGGTCGACATTTAAAAAGCCGAGATATGAAATTATCCCGGTCTATCAATCGGATGTGATCGCATGGAGGAGGGGGGGGGGGGCTTGGGGTGAAAAAGAAGTGGGCTGTCGGTATTTCGGTATTTAAAAACCTGCAGTTGGAATCTTTAAAAACCTGCAGTTGAAATCTTTAAAAACCAACATTTGAAATCGTTTCTCCATCGATTACATTTCTCCACATCAATGCAGCGCTACCGCTGGGTGTTTCTATTTCAGGACGTTGGATTTCTATTGTTTAGTTTTATTCAGTTTTCCCGGGGGGGGGGGGGGGGGACTGTGCCACGGCGCCCCAGGTTGAAAGGGCTAGACGCCCTAGGGTGAAAGGGCTAGACATGTTTTTATAGGGAAAAATGCTGACTGGAATGTAATCCTCCTCTGTCTCGTTCTGGATACATTTGTAACTTTTTAGCTTTTTTAAAGACTGTTAATTTTGATTGACTGATTAAGATACCACACATTTACATTTTTGTAGAACATAATAAAATAGAACAGAGATCTACACTTGAATAGAATAGAATAGAATAGAATACAATACAATACAATACAATACAATACAATACAATACAATACAATACAATACAATACAATACAATACAATACAATACAATACAATACAATACAATACAATACAATAGAACACAATACAATACAATACAATACAATACAATACAATACAATACAATACAATACAATACAATACAATACAATACAATACAATACAATAGAACACAATACAATACAATACAATACAATACAATACAATACAATACAATACAATACAATACAATACAATACAATACAATACAATACAATACAATACAATACAATACAATACAATAGAACATAATACAATACAATACAATACAATACAATACAATACAATACAATACAATGCAATACAATAGAACATAATACAATAGAATAGAGATCTACTTCATTTTCTCAGTACTTTGAAGGGAAATTTTCCATTGCTTTTATCTCTTTTCAAACAAGAATTAGGTCAGATAGTATAAATGTGTATAAATATTAAAAGCTTTTAACCAACACAATACTGTAGTACTGCTAAATCAGGATTTCGTCTGTAGGATTTATTTTTAAAATTTATTATGAAATTATTTATATTTTTCTGTATAACCTTTTTATGTTTAAGATATCTTCACTTGTCTTTATAAGTGCTTCATAAATAGATATGATTATGCTTAGATGATTTCACATTTAAATGAACAAGGTTTTTATGATGTAATTAATGGACATAAACATTAGATATAAGCTTACCACATATATATTAAATGCAATTTAGAAAACATAGTAGAGAACATCAAGTTATGAAATCATCATCTTTGCCCATTCGTGCCCAAGATACATTGGGCAGATGAAGTAGAGTTCATCCCTTTCAATGACTTGGGCATTCAAGGTAATATTGTGGTCAGCACTATGCCCAGCCACCTTGAGTCAGGTACCTATCAGAGCTGGGTGGACTCAGGTACGTCGTACAGGAACTGAACTTGCGACTTTTGGGTTAGCAGTCTGTAAAAGTAAAGTTCCCTTTCCAAACCTGATGGTCTAAGGGGCAAGTTAATTTACCTGTTTCTGTGACCTTGTCATATGAAGGGATAGTGTGGTCAGCACTATGCCTAGCCGCCTTTACTTTCCCTAACATGAGTTAGGTACCCATCAGAGTTGGGTGGACTGATTTGAACCCGGATTTGAACTCAAGACTTATATGTTATTAGTCTAGCTCTCTACTGCCAGGCCACTCCATCCCTATAAAAAAAAAGGTTGAAGTAAATCTAAAACTATTTCTCCGTTGTGCTGACTTCTATGTTTTGTTGTCTTTTCTACCAGTTTCCATTGACACAATCCATTGGCCAAGACACCATAAGATGTTTGATGTAGCTTGAGATCAAGCACAACAGAGACCAGTCACCATTTCTATCACAGCACAAGGGAAATAACCCACAGTTTTACTCACACTTCACATCACTAAAGGACACTGAAACTATGAGCAGTCCACTGTCACCAGACCCCTCCAGAATGGATCCCGGGATGCCAGTCAGGGATCATGGGTCGTATGCTTCATTTCATGCTCCGAGTATAGCAGATATCCAAGGTAAGTAAACCACTGTTTAGTAGTAGTAGTTAAGTTCTCTTTTCAAACCTTGTAGTCTATGGGGCAAGTGAAGTAGAGTTCACCTGTTTCTTGAACTTTGGCATATGAAGAGATAGAGTGATCAGCACTATTCTCAGCCACCTAAACTTTCCCTAACATGAGCTAGGTACTCATCAGAGCAAGGTGGACTCAGGGACATTATACAGATTATTGTTATGATATTTAAAATTTAATTTTAATTCAATTATGTTGAAAGTTTAGTTTAAATATTTTACTAAATTAAATAATCACCAATATTATTTTGTCTTAAAACATGAAGACAGTAGAGTTAACATAGTTAGTTATAACAATAGTGATAATGCAAAAACATTAATCTATTGGATAGATCATCGCAAACAAGACACTGTCTATATTGGACTTCATCTCCCACGCCAAGAACGGAGGCACAGACATCGCAGACACAAGCATCGTAAGGATAATAACGACTCTTCTCGCACTCAAAACAATCAACAGCAATTTTCAGAAGGTATATAATTATTTTTTCTTATTTACAATACCTATTTGGCATTTTTTTTAAATTCAGGATAAGCCTGTTATCACTTTGCATGCACTAGTACACATTCTCTTGCTGTATGAAATTTATTACAACAACAATGAAGCCTTTTGTATCAATATTTTTTTAATTACCTTATTCAAACAATATTATACATAGCAATTACACTATGATGTTCTACCGACTAAGATATTATATGAGTGAAATAATTTTTTTATAATTAGTTATTTCCCTTTAGCATTTACAAATTTAAAAAGCCAAGTACTGTTTAATTAACATAAAATAAATGTTTAAGAAGTTTATATAACAATGACATCTTTCAGCCTGTTCTGAAGGCACACTTTTACTTTGATTTATGCCTCTGATTAGAGTTGAAACACATGTTTATCACATTAAAGAATATTTCTTTTACTTTTATAAATCTGATAAAACAGTTTTTTAAACAAACTGGTCTCACAGTTACGCAACATTATTTTTTCTTTTTACATTGTACAAACCTAATCGCACTCGTGTTAAAGTTTTTTTTTTACAAATTGCTCTTACAATTATATTATTTTTTTATTTTATTTTTTACACTTTACAAACCTGAACGCACACTTGTTAAAACTTTCTCTTTTTTTTTTATAAAAAATTCCTTTTACAATTATGTTATTATTTTTTTACATTTTACAAACCTGAACCCACCCAGGTTAGAACTGTAGACTTACATCATGCCAAAGCTCATCTTTCCATCAATCATCCAGTTTTTTAATTAACCCATATTGCTCTCACTCCCCACCTCTTTTGAAGGCCCAGGCAAGGGAGAAGTTGAAGGAGGTAATGTTCTTGTTGAAGCACAAAGTAAACAAAAATTTACCACCTAAAAAAAATAAATGAATTCAACTTCTTAATTAAACTTCTTCTCACTTTATCATCTATTAAAGTTTTCAAAATATTAAGAAGAAATTGCAGAAGCTTATAATTTAATATTTCATTATTTAAGATATTTTTTTCTGAAATGAAGGTTTATTTTGAAAATATAATATAAAGCTTAAGCTACAAAAATGTATAATTTTATAGAAATTAAAGTTTACTAATGATTAATCACTTGATCAGCCCCAACTTTTTAACTGGTTTGAGATGAAATATTTAGATTAGGCATGAGGTGTGATTTTAAAACTTTTGTGAAATTCTGTTTTACTGCTGGTTCTAGACATAATTAAAGATTTTCTATATTTGGGCGCATTTCGTAACACATGAAAAAGAATTGTTTGGAAATTATTATTTTTTCATTTTTGAAAAACTTTTATCAGATCTTTAAAAAATAAATGAATATGGGAACAGCTGTCAGTTAAAAGAACAAAATCAATTACATTGCAGATTATTTTTATAAATATATGTTATTAAATTATAAATATTTTCTACCAGTCAAAATTCTTGGGAACATTTTATAATTGGAGTGTGGAGTCTGAAGATAATTGTCAAATTTTAAAATAATTGTAATTGATTTTCTTTTGGATTAGAAACTTTGTTGCACATCTTTGACATTAGAATTTAGCTTGTCTGTGTGATTGTGGTTGTTTTTTTTTTCACTTGTTTGACCTGAGTGCATCTCTCTAATTTGAAGCTATTTTGTTTTGTTCATTTCTCATGTCATGCTTTTATAATGTGGCAGATAAAAACATCTGTTTTAAATATAGCATTACGATTTTTCAAGTTTTTCAAATAATACACTCTCTAGTAATACTATAGCATATAAATGTTGAATGCAAAGTGCCACAAACAGGTTTACATTTAAATAAAAACTATCAGTCATATGGAACTAATTACTTGTGATTTAAATAAGTCTTTGATTGGTTTTTATGTTCTAAAACTGTCATAAAGATTTTTGTTTAAATATCAAAGTATGTACAATCCCTTTTGACTACATGAATGTTAGACAATGTCAGATTGTGTTCCTTTGTTAAACTTCACATAACTTAGCAATGGCTGATGAAAATAGTGAAAATCCTTTAGCCAAACTAAACAATAGTGATAGCATGCAGTTCTAAAGTTTTCTTAAAATTAACCTTAATCAATATTCTATCTTTTATAACTTGCAATGACAAATTTACATTCAACTTTATTTTGAGCCAGATTCTCCTAATTTAGAACTTAAGTTTTGTTTTCATCATTCCTTACATTTTTCCTAATGCCACATGTCAAACATAAGTGTTTTTTTTTTACTTATGTTTTGCATATATGTTTTATTGGTTGATGTTTATTTTCTTGACTTGTCTTACTTCAATGCAGTCAATAAAGGAAAAGGTACTTGTCTTTGTCACTAGCATTCATACTTGTTCTAGTGTTGTTATCTCATCTTCCTATCTTCCATTGTTGTCATGGTGTCGTCATGACAAAATAGTTGCCACTATTTCAATACTATAACATCTATACTCATTTTATTAGTTTATTCTAACCTTGTTTAAGATATAGCTCCTATGAGTTTTAGTTATGTATTTAATTTAGTGTTAATGTATACAATGAATGCATTTAAATTGTTAAGTTTATTTTTGTTTTAAAAGGTCAGAATGTAGCCAGTCTGTTTTGTTTCATTAAAATGTTAGTCTATATTTTAAATCTTAGTTTTATAGCAATGGTCATATTTACTTCTAAGCAACTGTATATCTCCTTTATTTTTATGTAACTGCATCTATCCAGCATTGAGCCTAAATTTGTGTTAGATCTGTCTCAATAGAATTGTTCCTAAATTTATTTAGAAGAAATTTCATTTTAGTTTCCAAATAGATCTGTATGATGTTATTTTTTATTTTGTTTCTGTTTTTAAAAAAAAAACTTGATTTTCTCCTTTATCTACATCTCGTTGTTTCAGTTAGGAAAAGAAGAAAAACAACTGGTATTTTGCCACAGCATATTGTGTTCCTTGTTCTGTTGTCCTAGGTCTAGTCATATCATGTTCTCTCTTGCTCAGAGCTTATCAACATTTTGCATTGTCTTTTTGGTGTATTATACAACTGAATAATTATTCTGTTTTGTTATATGCCTAATGACCATTTATTCTATGGCATATAAAAAAAAAGTATTAACATTTCAAAATTAAATGAATAATTTTAAAAATACATCTATCTAGAAAATAAACTAGTTTTAAAGATACACTGTTTTGGGTTGTGGTAATTCAATGCATTAACCTTTTGAAAGCCAGTAATATTATTTACAATTCAAAGTTGAAAATATTGATCTATTTTCATGGTAAATATTTGAACGTTAGCCATAATTCAGAGACCCTGCATTTTATTAAACTGTGTTATAAATTAAATTTCTAAAATCTGTTTTTAAAGCTACTGCATAAAAAAAGATGAGATTGGTGTTGAATATTGCATATTATAAAATCATTTTACATCTAGTGCAATCAACAACTGTTTTATAAAAAAAATTCAATTTCCATTAATTCATGATTAATTCATGCTAATTTTTTTTTTATTCTTTAAGAAAACAATTGAGTTTGGAAAAGGCAATATTGTTACCAAAAAAATATTTTAATTTATTAACAAACCTGCTATAAAATATTTTTGTTTGCTACTACTCTTATTATGTTTTAAAACTATGTCTATAGAACACTTAGCAATACAGAATCCAGATGTGTTGAGCAAATTTAGTTGTAATCCTGAAGTTTTCTAATTTTTATTCATTATTTCTATCTCTGGATTAGTTTTAAGCAGAATCCATCTCACCAGGAGCAGAATGAGATAACTGTACAAGAAAATGTGACACTTGATTGCGTAAATTGTTGAAATAGATTTTTGTGGTTTAGGAAACGAATGTAGGACTATTTTGCTACAGCTCTGAGAAGATCAGCCATGGAGAAAAAAATAATATAATCTAAAAACTCCACAATAAAAACTTTTGTGATTGAAAGATCAAAAGCACTTTGCTTTAGCCCTGAGGCCTAGGTTTACCTTGTTAATCCTGATTAACTTGGTCACCGTGACATGACCCTATCAATGTGAAAGTTTACAGAGCAAATATATTTTGCGCAATCAGCAAATTGCTGTTCTGTTCAATTTATTTTAAAATCTGTATCTCTACACACATTTAGAAAGACTTTTAATAATTTACTATTGTCTTATTACTTTTATTATTTTTCTGTTGTGTTTCACTCATATACAATCTCCAACGTACTTTTATTTTTTTTTGCTCACAATAATCAATTTGATAATTATATGTTTATTAACAGGTTACAATGTCATTATAATTTATTGTTTATAGCTGAAAGTAAATACTGCAATCTGCAAGGTTGTGTATTCATCTGTAAAGCATTTATTAATTTACTTCATTAGAATATAACATCAAAGATTTTTTTTAGTTTTCTAAAACTAAATCTTCTCTCAGATTTGTGTATGTACTTCACAAAAGCAAATTTTTTGTTTTCTATTAGTTTATGTATCCTTTCATTATGTTGTCATAAAGGTCTTCATATCCAGTATATAGAATTTAATCGCTTAGCATGATCGACATAGTTAATCTCACTCAGTAATCAACTTTGTTTATGATAACAAAAAAAAAAAAGAAGTATGAATGTAAGAAACAAACAATCCTTCTTGTTCGCAAATGTGTTTGCTCCTTAAGTTTTCAATGTTATCATTTAAATGTTGAGAAATCGTTGTTTAAAAGATCAAAATGTTTTCAAACGTTTTTCATAAAAAAAGTTGATATGTTTGTGCCCACCCCCCTCCACTATTAGGCTATATGACGCTGCCTGGTATTCATGTACTATTTATAATTGTGTTTTAACCTTGATGATGACTGACATAAGTATCAAATATGGATGAATCCATTTGATTTAAAATGCCAAAACATTTTATTCTAAAAAAATTTACAATACGATTTTAAAATCACGCTTTTGAAATATTATACACTAAATTTTTTCTAATATCTGATGTAAGGCATACCTAAATTTAAATTAACAATTAATTTATTTTAATAAATAAATAATTAAATTTTATTTACACTTGTTACACATATCAGTGTTAAACTTCAAACATATTAGCTCTTATGCAGCTCAGGTAAAGTATAATTGACAAGCTGGGGAACGAGTGATTAAATCAAGTATATTTTTTTTAAAGTAAATTTTAAGTCTTCTACCTTTGTATGGATGAGGATTGTTTTTTTTTTTAAATAGAGATGTTACCAGAAACATGCATGGATTACTTATTTGGTGTTTGTGTTACATTGCAGCTGCTCCTCCGTCTCAGAGAGTTCAGTTCCTGCTTGGGGAGGAAGAGGATGAAGATCACAGGACCCATGACATCTTCTGTGAGATGGCTGAGCTTTTTCCTTCAGGGGATGAGATGGAGTGGAAGGAAACTGCCAGGTTGGATATTCTTTTCTTCAGTGATTCCTGGCATTGGTGTCACAAAACTGGGGCAGGGGAGTGGGGTCCACACTAGTTTTAAGGGTGACACCAATTTGAAAATTGTAAAATTTATTAATAATTTAAAGTTTTATGCAGTATAAATAACAAAATAGTATGGCAGGGGGTGACACCAAACCGAAAATTGCAAAATTGTTGGAGGGGGTGGGGTGACACTCTTATTTCTATCCAGTGACACATGATCTAGTGGCGCCACTGGTTCCAGTGCTGTTGTTTTCCTTTTGATGAACAAAATCAATGTGAGTTTGTATTAATTCAAAGTCATAGGGATCTTTTAATGAAGCAAAGTTTATAGCTGAGGTTTTAGCAATGTATGGTTAGTTCATTTAGCCCATTTCCCCCATGGACATAAGTTACCTATAAGAGTTTACATAACTCCTCTTCAGTGCCTGTGCAGTGTATATGAGATCTGATGTCAATAGTGTTAAGTAAAAGTTATTATGATAGAAGTAAAGTTATTCTTTTGAACCTGAGAGCTCACCTGTTTCTGTCACTATGCTGTAGGGAATAGTGTTGTCAGCTCTATAACCAGACAGCTTAACTTTCTTTAACGAGGGTCAGGTACCCATTTCGTTAACGAGAGTCAGTTACCCATCAGAGATGTGCATATTCATAGATGTCCTACTGACTCTAGAATCTGAACACAAAGTATATGGGTTAGCAGTTGTAGGCTCTACCATGAAAGGCACATAATCACACACAAAAATAGTTTAATTGTTTGGTTGATTCTGGTTTGAATAATGCAGAAATACTAAACCAGTTTTAAAGTTTTACTTCATTCTCAAAGACATCAAGTTCTATTTTTAATAAATTACACTGGTTGTCGTCAAGTTATTTACATGTGGCTTTATTTTTTTCAGGTGGATCAAGTTTGAGGAAGATGTAGAAGAAGGTGGTGAAAGATGGTCCAAGCCTCACGTGGCCACTCTGTCTCTCCATTCTCTGTTTGAGCTCAGGTGTAGTTTACTCCAGGGGACGTGCATGCTTGAGCTGGAGGCCAACTCTATGGAGCAGATTGCAGGTAGGTTTAGACTTTTGGACTATAGTAATGTGTGATTATAGGTAGTAAAGTTCCCTTTCAAACCTGACAGTCTACGGGGCAAAAGAAGTAGAGCTCACTTGATTCGGTGACCTCGGTATATGAAGGGATAGTGTGGTCAGAACTATGCCCAGCCGCCTTTACTTACCCTATTGTGAGTTAGGTACCCAACAGAGCTGGGTGGACTCGGATGGTCTAGTTTTTTGTACCCGGATTCAAACTTGAGAGTTACGGGTTAATAGTCTAGCTCTCTACCTCTAGACCACTCCATGCCTTTGTGAGTATGGGTAGATAGAGGTGTTATTGTTTGCATTAAGATTGGCAAGCAGTGTAAGACCTTGGTATATGAAGGGATAGCGTGATCAGCACAATGCCCAGCCGCCTATGTTAACCTAACATGAGTTAGGTACCCATCATAGCAAGGTGGATTCAGGGACGTTCTTCTGACTTGAGCTAGGACTCGAACTTGAAACTCTAGCTCTCTACCGCTAGACCACAGCATCCCGTTGTGATCTTAGATTATAGCTGCAGTAATATGGTAAAGTAGTTGTAGCCCTTTAGGTTACAGTAACATCAGATCATAGATTGAGCACTAACTGCTATAGCAAACTTAATTTTAAATAATTCAACAAAATAGGAGTCAAGGTTAATTTTATTTTCACAGGCTGATAGGTAAAAGTATTTAAATCCTGTTCTATCTCAGCCAATGTTAATTAACTGATATCATAGTTATGTTAGGTTTTTCCCTATGACTATTTTTCATATTTTCTTCATTAATAAATGAGATTTATTGATTTAAGTGATATTTTCTTAAAATGTTTTCATTTTTTTTTTCATTTTATTGTCTTGATGTAAATTTTTTTTATAAATATACAAATAAATATTTAAAAAACCTATACATTATAAAATATTATTTATTTCTATATGTACCAGTAAATGTGTATTGTGTTTTCCCCCTCAGATCTCATTCTCGACAACATGATAGCTGCAAAACTCCTGGAGGAGCACCTACGAGACCAGGTGCGAAACACTATTCTGTGTAGGCACAAACATCTGAACGAGAAGAGGCGCAAAGAAGATGGTGGAAGTAGGATGCATCTTCCTTTTGTCAGGTCCCTGGCAGACATTGGCAAAAAATACTCTGAGCCAAAAACTCTTTTGTCATTGGGTAATAAGAATGTTCAAAGTATGGGAGTTAACTCTCTGCATGTCACAAGTAAGGGAAACAAGTATAATTTAAAATTTTGAGGCTTGGGTGTAGGCCTTTTTATCAATTCCAATTACTAATTTTCATCTTAAGAGTGCTTTCAATTCTTCAGTGTTTGATTAAATTAATTTAAAACAAAACCAATTTTTTTTTCAAATGGTAAAATATTATCGTATAAAGTAAACAGCTAGGCTATATTGTTAAGGGGATTAAAAATATGCTTGTAAAAAGCAGGTTAAATATTTTAACTTCTAAGCTCATACCATGACCAATTTATAAGCTAGTAAAAGTAAAAATAATGTTAAAAATTTTAGAATAATTGTCACTTTTCTTTTACATTTTTAAATTTCTAACAAAACTATAATACCAGAATTTGATATAGAATCTAACATTAGTAATAAATTATATCTAACATTAGTAATAAATTATCCAAATTTTCCTGATAAACTTACCGTTCTGTTTAACAGAAATGTTTATTTTATATCTATTTACTCAAAGAGAACCTGTATTTCAACATATTTTTATTTTGAAAATTAGTTTAAATTAAATGAAAAAGTTTTAGCATACAATTATTCAACTAATTTGACATATTTACCTAACATTAGTTACATTTAGTTGTATTTTCTAGAGAATGCAGTGCACTTACTATAACTAATTAAGTATATAGATTTAAGGATAACTGTGTGGAATATATAAATTTTTTTTAAAGATGAATTTACCTTGAACATAAATTTCTTGGTAAGGTGTATAAGTACACATAATTTTACATGATTCATCAAACTTCTATACATTTCATACAACAGTTATTCATTTCTGTATATTGGAAGATGTTAGATTGATATTACTGCTTACTGAACAGATGAATAGCCATTTTAATAATTTATAGAGTTTTACCTTTGGTGCTTTTGGTGTGATTATTTTATGTCTTATGATATTTACTTAAATTATTGTTGTTGTTTTTTTTTGTGTAGAAGTTTAAAAATAGCTGATTTTATTTTGATTAATTCAAAATAACATAATTTGTACAAAAAGTATATTATAAGTAAAACAAACAAAACATTTTAATTCCAAATTTAAAGTATTTTTAATTGTTTGAAATTGTTTTGCTCATAACTTTTTTAAAAATACATTTATAAAGGGAACACTGACAATTAGTTCAGCTAAAATAAACTCATAAAATACAGTTTACCATTGCTGTTAAATTGGCTCTCTTCAGGTGATGACTTATCTCCTGCGGCCAAGAGCACACCAAACATGCAGGGTCTAAACCCAGGCATTAGCAGGACTGATGATGAAAAACTGGAGAAAGGGTTAACTGTCAATAACTCCTTCTCAACCGCTCTACCCAGTACTGGGGAGTTGTCTGAAACAGCTTCTCATAAAGTGAGGATTTTTCTGTAAACTTTTTAAAATGATACTGATTTGTTGTATTACTGTGGTAATTTAATGTGTAGGCAGAGTCTGTTTTAATGGTAGTACTTTTGTTTAGTTCATGAAGCTCTTTTAAACTAACATTTATTTACTTCTTGTAGCACATATAATGTCAAGCTTAAAGTAAATCCCAACATGTATTCTGTATCTGTATATTTTATTGTTATATTATCCCAGACTGCGTATAATCCAAATAAGACGATACATTTTAAGCCAGTGACGTGAAAAATTTAAAAATAAAATTAACATGATTACTTTTGTTTTAAAAGACATTTATCTCCAAAGAGGTGGTGATTTGTATAAATGGGTGGTAATTCTAATCTAATAATATCAGATTTAACGATGAATTGCATGCTTTTAAGGATCGCAGTTTTCCAAAGATTCCATCAATGAGGGTAAGATAAGGTATTTTTTGTAACATCCATACCTCTCACCTGCCCACACTCCTTTTATTTTAATATCCATCATCCGTTTACAGATCCTGCACTTTCTTATAAATGCGTTTCCTATCTAAAACAGTTTAATTTGTGACTAAGTCTCAGTCATCTTGCATACCTACTCCAAATTTATTAAAATATTAATTTTTTTCACCTTTAAAAGTTAACTCTAATGACTAATGTATAGCATGCATAATCATCACTGGTATATAGAAAAAAACTACTTCACATGTTACAAATTTTAAAATTTAAATAAAACAAGTAAAGAAAAAAAAATGTTTTAAAAGCATGATTCTTGGTTTTGTTATATACCATACGCTACACCACACTTCCATTTTTGTTCACATAATGGTATGGGAAATTTAGTGACTGTTCAGAGTTTATGTGTCGTAGAAATGTAACATAAATTTGGAATTGCATGTTTAAGATGGAATAGAAATGAAATTTTAGTGAATTTGAAAAGTTATATGAAATAGTACTTTGTAAAATAGGCAGTGTAACATGCAAGGTAAATATAACCATAGTACCATAATTATTACTTTATGGCTAGTATAGAAAGGTGTATTTTAAAAAAAACTAGTACATTTGCAATTATAAATTAAAACATAAAAGCACATGGTTAATATTGTTACTAATGATAGGAAAAATATTTGATTTTTGTTCCTAATAAATAAAACAAAATGTATAACATTGATAATTATACTCATATAATTAATGAAATCTGAGATCAGGTCGTATGTATGAAATGTTGCATTACAAATCCACTTTATCATTTTTCTCAAACAATCATTTCAAACATAATCAACAGACACCAAAGAATGCCATCTTTTAAAAATAAAAAAAAATGCTGTGAAAACATTCTTTCTAAATTTAGCCATGTTTTATTGTAAACATTTTATTTGAAAAATTTGTTAACTGTCTATAATTCTCCATGACAAAAATGTCATAAGTTTCCTTTCCTTTGATGAAATTTTTCCTTAATTAACATGCTGCCACTTTCCAAATTCCTCCCAATTTGTTATGGTTCTTTCTCTCATGATACATGTTTTCTTTTTTAATTTCCTTTCAATTGTTTGTTTCTTTTTCCCTTAATGCCTACACTCCTTTTTTGACTTTGATGTGGATAACAGGTGGGTAATTAATTAATGTGGAGTAATTTAAGCTTAACTGCACTTTGCTGTATAGTTCGGTTGAGATTGATTTTGTAAACAAATGTATTTTAATTAATTTTCTTAAAAATTCTCATAAAACTTTGAACTAGTAATACAAGAAAATTACACCACCACAAATGCAAGTTTTATTTAAAAACTTTAAAGTTTATTTTGTTCGCGAAATGAAAAAAGTTTTATTTTTTTACAAAGCCACTACTCGACCTTGGGTGATATTTTCAGCTTTCACTTGAGCGGCAGAGTTTCCACTCTTCAGTACAGTATCTCTGTTCTTGTCTCAGTCTCTACGTTAGTACAACAAGATGGTGTTGTGTGTGTGGTCGCAGACAAATAGATATCTGCCTTCAAACCAATTACTTTTTGCCCGCTAAGATTCTTCTTTTCTTTAAACTGTGTTTTTAAAATATTTTGCAATTATGTGTGACTAACATCTGTTTATATTTTAAAGAGGCATCTTGATTTGCTTAAAATTTGAAAAAGTTAAATATTTTACAACACAGATTTTAATTTACCTAATGTTTAGATTCAACTTCAACCTTCACATAGTTCAAATCCAAGAAGAAATGTTTTTGGTATCCTTAATGATATAAAGCAATAACTGACACAAAAAAAAACATCACATCATCTGTACATTTGGTAACGTTTTAGATTTCTTATGTACTAGTTACTGCAGTATGGGTTTACAATTTTTACTGGTTGAAAAGTGTCAACATAATTACGTGAATAGGTCACTTTTTGCCAGCTTGTTAATTTAAACATTAGAAAATATCCTCCTTTACTATAGTTAGTCTTACAAAGTTAGTACCTCTGCATGTTTCCTTTTTTCTATGTGTAGTTTACCAGTACTGCACATTCATTTATTAAAATAGCTTTATATCAATTTCATCATTATTATTTCAAAATGTTTTACTCGATAGAGTTTAATAACTTGTCTTCTCTTGAATTTATCCTGCCATTTTTATTATGTTTTTCTAAATCAACACAAAATTATTTAATAAATTATTTTGAATGCCTTTTGATAGTCGTGTAAACATGAAGTATATTTGTTAATGTCTTGCACTAGCATCTAATGTTTATACTCTTTAGGGCATGATACTTTTCATAACAGCATTTGTTCAATAGTTTGTACAACCATTAATATACTCTCCTGACATTTTTATCTATTGTAGCAGATTCAGGTAAGATGCCTGATAAATTATTTTTATTCTATTGCTTTATTGTTAATCATATTGCATTATCAAATATATTTATATTAACTTCAAATCAAAATTAAAATATTCACATACACCCTAAAAAGTTTTCATCAAATAACCATTTTCATTTTTTTTTAATTAGCAGCTTTGACACTAAATATTATTGGCAATAACACATTTTATTTGAATAGCCATAGCTTATAATATTTTTTGCCAAAAACAGAATAAAATTATACCAAAAAATAAATACATAAAATACATGACAAGCAAAGAAAAATACTGGGGTTTTTTTTTATATTTATATATACACCAGTTAAGACAATTTTAAATTAGCATTTCTTTTACTTTATGCTAAATAACACTCAGCAATTTTAACTGGAGAATAAAACAAGTAATGAGAGAAGCAAATGTCAACCTAGGCTATCATTTTACATATATAAATACATTTTAAAAAGTAATGGAATTTATTTTCCCCATTACACTAAAAAAACGTATTAATTGTACTATTTATATTCATGTAATGGCTAAATATTTGCTATCCCTGGCCATATTTGTTGTATCCAATATAATGTTTTTATTAGGTAGAAGTTTCATTTCAACCAAACAATTTTTTTTTAAACTTATTCTTTTTCACTAAACATTATTTTTTCACTAACTTTATACATTTTGTATAATTTTCAAATTTCATTTTTATTTAAATTAACAAAACATACTGGTTCTTTGTTAACAGTGTTAATTTGATAAAATGGTTTTACTTGTTTTATAACCTCTTTAGTTATGCCATCCAACTTAACATTTAATTGCTTATTTTTAAGTTTTCACTTCTAAAATTGAATAGTGCAACACTTTATTGAGCTCTAAGTTTTTCTAATTTTTTTAACCATGCTATGCTGATTTTTAATAATTAATTGGTTGAATAATGATTTTCTGACCAGCATGAACAATTCTATTTAAAAAAATTATATATTGCAAATATGTTTTATGTGAAAAACATCCTCAGCACGATAAATCAATTTTTGTTTTCAAAACTTTGAAAGAACAAAAGTGGACCTGCCTCTTGTATGAATAAAATGAAGTTTTATAGCATGCAGAAAAACGCTTTTTTAAACATGCATGTAAATAAATAGCCCACTAGAGCCAAACATGTTAATAGCCGTACATATTGATTTTGTTACATGTAACTAAATTTTTCATCTAGAAAAAATGTAAATCAATTTCACTATTGTTTTTTTATTACTTTGTTTAATTCCTTGTGACAAAATCATATGATTATATTGCTTTAGAAACTGAAATACTTGCTCTTTGCTCAAGGAGTTGATAAAAATAGAATTTAAAAAACTATAACTAATTTAAACCTAGTATTTACATTTTTTTTGTTTTTATTTTTTGTAAAACAAATTTTTAATTTATAAATATTTTGTTTTATTTGGTTACATTTTCATTTAAAATTATATTCTTAATATCATATTGTTAGTTGTTAAAATATATTTATTGCTGTAGACATATATTGATTAGTCACTACTAACCTGTTAACAACCTAGCTTTAATATAAACATATCAATCTAAACCTTTATAACAGTTGAATATTTTTTCAGAATATGATGTCAGATAACTCTTGAATTAGTTGTGTTACATGGATTCTTATGTTGTTTTCACACATATGATCATCCATCTTGTATTAAAATCTGTGAAATATAAAATATTATCATTACTTAAGGTATTAGTAACAGGTGTACACTTTTTAAAGACTTTCAAGTTCTGAATCTTATATTATTATTATTATAGCTTTTCATGTTTTCTTTCACTAACATATATTATTTGGGACAAATGAGATTATTTATTACTAACATTGCTGAACAATATTACATACCTACTTTCTGTAATCTATTTTTTTTCACTGACTTAAAAGTGTATATTTTTGAAGAACTTTAAAAATTATTATCAATTTTTTTAACAATTTAAAATATTCACTACTGTTCAGATTTATATTAGTAAAATGCTATCATTCTTTTTTTTCTTTATATTCAAGCATTTAAGTATGAAAAGTTAAAAAACTGATATTATTAAGCATACCTTTAAAATCAAAATATTAATATTTACTCTGGTTCTCTCATTCTCATTAGCTTTGGGCAATATTTTAAAACTATTAAAATTTTTGTGATATTTTTATGATTCAAAAGATTTTTTTTGAACAATTCACTTTGATTTCCAAGTGTTTCATACATTCAAGAAAATTTGTATCAGCTCCCATTTTGTTTAATCCACAGAACCTGCACTTCATGAAGAAAATCCCTGCTGGAGCCGAGGCTGCCAATATATTTGTGGGGGAGGTAGATTATCTCAACCATCAGATTGTGGCGTTTGTGCGACTGACCAGAGCTCAAGTCCTAGGGGACCTGACAGAAGTCCCAGTTCCAACTCGCTTTGTTTTCCTGCTGCTTGGTCCAGTTGGTAACCAGAACAAGTTTCATGAAATCGGCCGATCCATTGCGACTTTAATGTCTGATGAGGTAGTGTACTTTTATGTTTAAAATATTGACATATAAATTCAGGGTGGTAGTTGAGGGTTGAGTTATCTTTAGTTTAGCTCTGAGCTAAAGTCTGTTGAGGTCTCTAAGTTCCCCCAACTATGTTGAACCAAGTTGGGAAAAGTAAAGACAGATTTCTCTAAAATCCCATCTTTTGTTACAATAAAAAGGGTCGGCGTGGTCGAGTCGGTAAAGCTCATGGTTGCTTAACCGAAAAATCTCGAGTTCGAACCCTCGAGCAGATGAGGCTCGTGAGCTGGGGACAGTCACTCTTCTAGGAGAGACAACTCCAAAATCAAACAACTGCTGCCTTGTAGTTTGTTCTTGGTTGGACAAAGGCTATGGAAGCAAATCCAAAAAGAAAAGCAGGCTGAAATCGGAGTCAATGGCCTCAATGGCGCATAACCAGTTGATACGTATCCTTAATTGTGTTGGAGGCGTGGTTGAGTCGGCAAAAAGCTCATGGTTGATAAATTCAAAAAAAGTCACGAATTCAAACCCACTGGCAGATAAATCTCGATCCCTTTCAACACTAAAAATTAAGAACGAAGAAGAAGAAGAGTTACAATAAAAAAAATTATTTTGTTTTACATTAAAATACTGTATTTATACTTGTTTTTTTTTTTAATTTGAGATATTTGAATAATTATTATCCAATATTTCAAAGTTAAAGCCTAAAGTATTTTTTTGTTACAGATTTTCCATGATGTAGCGTATCATGCTCACAATCGGGAAGATTTGTTGGCAGGCATTGATGAGTTTCTGGATCAGGTGACCGTGCTTCCACCAGGAGAGTGGGATCCATCCATCCGGATAGAACCTCCAAAGTCTGTTCCATCCCAGGTGAGAGGGGGATAAAATTGTTGAGAAAATTAATATTTTTACGAATGTAAATTAAATCAGAAAAATAATGTATACTTACAACATAGTTTTTGACTTGCAATACATATTTTTAAGCTTTATTTGATATTGGCTATAATGACCATCATGTGTTAAGCGCTATGGTACTTTGTTTTATTGAGAGAAAAAATTTATTTATATTTTTACTTTTTGTTTTTAAAAATCTGATATTATACAGGTCTAATTTTTTTAAATGTGTTTATATTTGTACCTTTTTTTTAAATCTGAGATTATACACTATACAGTTCTTAATTTTAAAAATGAATTTATATTTGTACATTTTGTTTAAAAAATCTGAGATTATACAGGTCTAAATTTTAAAAATTAAAGCCGGAAGTGCATCCTGTATTTGTTATTTTAATTATAGGAAGGTAGAAAGACAGCATCATCTGGCCCACCACAACCTAATGGCAAGGCTTTGTTTGATGATGAAGTTGATGACCACCATGACCCAACTTTGGTTAGAACTGGAAGGTGCAGACTTATTTATACTCTCTTAAACTTATCTTACCCCTGTAATGTTCATGGTGTTGGTTGATGATGATTTTAATAATGCAGATATATTTGAAAACAAGAATATTATTGGTTTGTGTACAGATCATGATTCTTAACTCAGATTTACACAGCTCATAAATAACAAAATTTCAGGGGCACTACTCTAACAATGTTACTGCCCTTGTTGGCTCCCCTGTATATTTTGATAAACTAAAACCTGCATAATAGTTTTCCAAACTTAATTCACATTTTTTAATTTTCAGATTGTTTGGAGGTTTAATCAATGATGTGAAAAGAAAGCTACCTTGGTATCTGAGTGATTTCAAAGATGCCCTTCATGTTCAATGTGTTGCTTCGTTTGTGTTCTTGTATTTTGCTTGTCTGACCCCAATCATCACATTTGGAGGACTACTGGGAGATGCCACTGACATGAACATGGCAAGCTATTTAAACATCTTTAAGTACTTTAACTTAATTATCTGAACACATCCCACAGTTCTTTTGCCATGCCTCTGTCTTTACTTGATTTTCAAATCATCTTCATCATCTTTTCCCATTTGTGCCCAAGACTCATGGGGCTGATGAAGTAGAGTTCATCTGTTTCAGTGACCAACCACCTTAATTTTCCCAAATTAGAGCTAGATGGATTCAGGGACATTTCACTGAGTTTAACCCAGATTCCAACTCGAGACTTTTGGTTTAGCAGTCTAGTACCCTACCTCAAGGCCACGTTGTCCCCCCAATTGGCAACTACATTTACTCATAGCCATTTTTTCTTTTTAAAAAAGAGGGCTGTTTAATTAAATTATGGATATAACAATTTATGTTAAAGGTTACTTTGATATAATAATCATGAGAAGACTTACAACTAATATTTTGTTTACATTTGCAGGCAGCCTTAGAGTCTATCCTTTCTGGGGCAATCTGTGGAATTTTGTACTCACTCTTTGCTGGTCAACCTCTGACCATCATTGGCAGCACAGGTCCAGTTTTGGTCTTTGAGACCATTTTGAATCATTTCTGCAAGTGAGTTTAAAACAAGTTGGCCAAAAGTAAAGAAATAAATCAGTAAAAATATTTTTAAATGAATTTTTTTTCATTATCATTTGAACTTCAATTAAATTCATACATTTTTTATAAAAACCAATTTAGCTTTTTTTAGTCACTTTTTTGTTATATAGCTCTGTAACATACTATTTACAAAAAAAAACATTGATTTCCAACTTGGATATTTATATCAGAGGCGTAGCGAGGGGGGGGGGGGGGCGGACATATGTCCCCGGGCGCCGACCTGAGGGGGCGCCAAATTGAAAGTTTTGGGGGGGGGGGGGTGCAAATGAAAAGTTCGAGAGGGGGTGCAAATCGAAAGTTTGTTACCGGGCACCGGGAAGGGTCGCTACGCCTCTGATTTATATTGATAATCATGTACTTTTAACTGTTTTTTTTTTTATATTTATATTTTCTAGTCATTAAAATTGATTAATGTTTAACATGGAGATTTGTTGAATGTTTCAGAGATAATGGACTCAACTACCTGGAGATGAGACTGTGGATTGGGATATGGACTGGAGTCATACTGTATGTCATGGTGGCCTTCGACCTCAGTGCTCTAGTTAGATTTATAACTCGTTTCACAGAGGAAAGCTTTGCTGCGCTCATCTCTCTTATTTTTATCGTTGAGTCCCTACAGAAGGTAAGCAGACCTATTGAGTGAACCATGTAACGATGGCACATATCAACCTGTGGTCAGATTCTTAACTTAAGCTGCATAAAATACTATTTAAAAAAAAGAATCTAAGATCTGTACACAATAACCTGTTTATCTATCTGTCTGTCTGTCTGTCTGTCTGTCTATCTATCTATTTATCTATCTATATATCTATCTATCTATCTATCTATCTATCTATCTATCTATCTATCTATCTATCTATCTATCTATCTATCTATCTATCTATCTATCTGTTTATCTGTCTGTCTGTCTATCTATTTATCTATCTATCTATCTATCTATCTATCTATCTATCTATCTATCTATCTATCTAATCTATGGGAAGTTGTTGAGAATATTCCTGGGGAAGATTCTGCAAAAAAAAAAATGTAAATTCTCAGGGGTGGCGCCCCGACAGGGCGCGATTAATTTTTTCTCTATATATGGTATATTAAAATAAAAGTCGATTGCGGTTTAACACCGCTCATCCGATCACCACGAAAGTTTGGGGAGTTGATTAAAACATCCCAGGGGAAATTTCTGAAAGGAAAAAACATTTGTCAAATTCGCAGGGGTGGCGCCCTAGCAGGGCGCGATTTGTTTTTTGTTCTCTATATACAGTATGTAAAAAATAAATCGATTGCAGTTTGACACCGTTCATCCGATCGTCATCAAACATTGGGGAGTTGATTAGAACATTCCAGGTGAGGTTCCTGTAAAAAAAAATCATTTTTAATTTCGCAAGGGTGGCACCTCGGGAGGATGCAATTCTCTTCTATATACGACATTAAAAAAAATGAAAGTCGGACGTGGTTCGACACCATTTATCTGAGTGCCATAAAACTTTAAGGAGTTGATAAATACTCCAGAGAAGGTTTCTGGGGTGAGAGGGGGGTGGGGCAGCCCCAGGCCAGATGCTATTTGGCGCCCTGGTCTTTCCTATGAGCGCTATGGTGATTACGTTTGTTTTAAACAATGTGATAGACAATGGATAGGATGGGGTGTTGCAAATGCTCACTGGTGGGGTGCAATTTGGCTGCAAACAAAAATTTCAGTTTCAGCCCCCAAAGGCTCACATGAGCCGCTGAGGGCTCTGTAATGCATGTTTTTAATAATCACAAATATTAACCAAGGTTAGATTATTAACTGGGTTGTTTCCTTTTGTCCGAAAAAAAATCCAAACAGTTTTGTCATTTTGAGATCGAGCTTCTAATAATACACCATTAGTAACGCTAACAAATTGCATCAGTCACATTGATGTTTATAACAAGTCAAATAATTTTTTTGGACATGTTAAAGAGAAAAACTCTTGCTGATTTGTGTAACTTTAGCGAATGACGCAGTCTGCATCATTGTTTCAAGATGCTATGTGGCACTCTGGGTTATACTGTGAGCACTATGATGCCTATGTTAGTTTTAAAGAGCCTAGGACCATACGCTGCGCCTCTGTGGTAGTGTAATCGAGGGGCTCCTTGACACGTGGGCGGTCACAGAAGTGTGTTTTACCTCATTATTTCGGTGAATGGTTAAAGTACACTCAAGGTTTTCATGCAGTAGTGTAGGTAAACCCTTGTCCCGATATTTATCATCCAAGCTCAGGCAGTGTTTACATTTAAATAACTCAGTTTTAAAAAACAAGGTCACGAGTCTAAGAATATAGGATTGGTAACACATTGATGAAACCCTTTGTATATATTTTGTCAGACTTTCTTCTATTCCCGCGGCAATAATATCTAAATTTTTGGTACTGAAACAATTACAATTAGTGAACATACACCCTTTTTTGCAATGCATACAGCAATATTTTTTTAGGACAACAACTGTATTAAAATAGTTTTACTCTGATAGCTGCTGTTATTATGACCACCCTCCCCAAAACATTCAACCCAATGACCTTTTTGGTCAATATTAATTTAATTTTTACAGCTGATAAAGATTGCAAGCGATGACCCCCCGAACCTTCACCCCAATGCCATTTTGGACTACAACTGCACCTGTCTAGTGACTGTGAATTCAACTTTCAACAACTCCACACTCAATGTAACAATGGCTGCACTCAATGAAACCTTGAACTCAACCTTTTATAATGTCACTGAGTTCTACGCCAGCACCAAAGCCAGCAGACAGCTGTGTAAGCTGCAGGCAGGAACCTTAGTGGGGCCGGGCTGTGACACAAAGTTTTATGTTCCTGACGTGTTCTTCTTTTCTTGTTTACTTTTCATCGGCACTTTCACGCTGGCCCTGTCACTGAAGATGTCCAGAAACGCGTCTTTCTTTCCCACATTTGTAAGTGGCATAGAAAATAAATCTCAAATCTAGATTTCTTGCATCATAGTTCAACTAATCCAATTTATTTAAATTTATTTTTTTTTATGTGAAAGAATAACAGCCATAATTTGTTCAATAATTATTTTACAAAATATTTATAGATTTTTTTTTAAGTACTAATTGTCATATTGCCATTTTAGCTGAATTTTATTTTAAGTTTAAGTACTTAAACATTATAGTTAAAAGCATTTTTAATTAACTTGATTGTTCTTTCCTTTATCCTAGGTGAGAGGTATCATGAGTGACTTTGCCGTACTTATTGCTATTCTTAGCATGGTTCTTTTGGATTTCTTCATGGGCATAAACACACCAAAGCTGCATGTGCCAGAAAAATTTGCTGTAAGCTCAAAGTTTTTTTTATATTCCCAGTTGCCAAGAAAATGATGGTGAACTCAATTATTTTAAAAAAAATTAGTTTTCTATTTATAGCTTCTTTATCTCAATATTTTACCAATAGGGCTGGTAAGTAGGTCACGAACCAGTTCTACAGCTGAATAAAACCTGCATGAGCCATAGAACTGGTTGGTGACCTACTTACCAGCCCTATTCTCTATTTGTAGGCCTACCAATAATTTCTTACTTGCCCCTTGAATCATTTAATTAGTAGTTTCATAGACATGCCAACTAGTTGTAATTTAATTTTTTTTACCTTATATAGTAGAAGATAATTTAAGTATTTCGATGTAGGCCTAAATTCCACTGTTAATATTATTTGAATGCTAACCAGATTAAACTGAGTATAAAAATATTATACTTCTACAGCCAACCAACCCTGACCGTGAGTGGTTCATCAGCCCATTTGGCCACAACCCGTGGTGGACCTGTATAGCTTGCCTGATCCCTGCCCTCCTGGCCACAATCCTCATCTTCATGGACCAGCAGATTACAGCTGTTATAATCAACAGGAAGGAGAACAAGTTGCAGGTGAGAAGTCTTCTGCTTGTTTTTGTTTTAGAACTAGTCGTTTTTTTTTTTAATTATTTTTAAAAACAATAGTTGGCACAGTATAAAGAAATATTACTCTTCCATAAACACTATTTTCTCACTCATTTAGCTACATTAGTTAACTAATCATTAACCCTGAAATTAATCCTAACCATCTTGATTTAGCCCTAACTATTAAGTTTTTAAAGCAATTTAATTGACAATACTAGCCATACAAACTTGTGAGCACAGAGCCGCAAACAGCTGTTAAATAAAATTTATAAAAATAAAAAGACTAGATAATTAATATTATGACTGACCTAAACAATAAATGTTTTTGTTTTATCTTGATAACAGAAAGGTGGAGGCTACCATCTTGATTTGTTTGTCATTGCCACCCTGATCATTATCTGTTCCTTCCTGGGTCTGCCCTGGTTTGTGGCGGCCACTGTTCTGTCCATCAACCATGTCAACAGCTTGAAAAAAGAATCTCAGTGTTCCGCACCCGGAGAGAGTGCTAAATTTTTGGGAGTCAGGTGATTGGGGGAAAAAAATCTCATTTTTTATTTTTAATTACAGAAAAAATTGTTCTATAAAAACAAAAATTTCAAAATTAAGTTAAACTGATACAAGTAATAAAATAATCTGCTTTAGAGTAACATTATAAATTGACTTAAATGTTTTTTTTTTTATTTCAGAGAGCAACGAGTTACAGGAACTTTAATTTTCCTGTTTATTGGTATTTCAGTATTCTTAACCACAGTTCTTAAAGTAAGTAATTTGCAGCTTTTGTTTGTCTACATGCTTAACATTAAAAATACTTTTTAAAAACACTTTTATTTATTATTTCATTTTTAAGGAAATTTAAATCTATATTTAAATGAATGTAATATTTAACAATTTTAGGTGTTTTTTTTTTCTGGAAGTTGTCTAAGAGAAAAATGATGTCATATGTTTTGTTAATTTAAGGTATGTTATTTCACCAAAAAAAAAATTTTTTTGACTTGTTATCAATTATAGTTATATTATTCTCAATTCTACAGTTCATCCCCATGCCCGTTCTGTTTGGTGTATTCTTATACATGGGTGTGTCCTCCCTGAGGGGAATGCAATTTGTTGACAGAATCATCATAATGCTGATGCCACCCAAGTACCAGCCAGACTTGATGTACCTGCGACATGTCAGGACCAATCGTGTCCATATATTTACCGCCATTCAGGTGGTTTGTCTAAGTATCTTGTGGGTCATCAAGTCAGTGAAAGCAATATCAATAGCTTTTCCTGTAATGGTAAGTTGGTTAAAAACTTGCATTGTGTTAGTTGGGTTAGGCTTAATTTAAACAATAATCTAATCAATATTTAGGGGTTAATGCAGTAAAATAAGTTTGTGCACTTTCATACATAATTGAGCTTACAGCAGAAAAATTAGAGTTAATCTTGTTTGACTGCATTGATGATATTGTGTGGATCAGAATTTTTAATATCCCTGTACTCACCACAGTAAGGTGGACTCAAAGATGTCCTATAGATATGCGCATGGGAACAAAACTGAAAATGTGTTAGCATTCCTGTTCTCTAATTCTCTAATTATTTTAGTTTAATGCTGTATTGTTTACAATAATTTGTGTTCTAATTCCTTACTGCAATCTTATTTTATTACTATTTTATTAATTTGGTACTGCTTACAATAATTTGTGCTTTAACCCAATGGAATATTTTTCAATTCAATCAGGTGCTGGCTATGTGTTTTGTGAGAAAGGGTATGGATAAAATCTTCACTCAGCAGGAACTGAAGTGGCTGGATGACATTATGCCAGAGACACATAGGAGAGAAAAGGAAGATCAAGAGATGAAGTTGGAAGAGGTAATTAGTTAATTAATTACCCAGGTTAACTTTTAGAGTTCTGGAAGACCAGAATTAATTAATGAGAAGTTAACACAATGTTTTTTAAGTGAAAAGTTTATCGGCTCTAATAAATGAAATAAAAGTATTTTTATTTTATATTCTGTTAGATACATACATTGAGCTAATTAATTGCAGTAACCTTTTCTCACTTAAAACCATCTGTATGCAGAGTTTCTTTCTGGCATCTCTTCGGGATTTTTACCGCCCCCGAACGAAATGAAATGTATATAATTTATATAGAAAATATATACTTTTAGCAGTGTCTGCCCCCCCCCCCCCCCCCCCGAAGAAAGTAGTATCATGTGAGTTTTAAATATCATGTTGTATTTTAGCAACGTCGGTCCTTAATTGAAGACTCAACAGCAATTCCGATGGCAGCGCTAGGCTTTGGCAGCATTTCTGGAGAAAACTGGACAGTGAAAGCTGATGTTGATATGCTAAACATCTCTGAGGAAATGTCTAAAACAGCCATGTGGAAGTCTATCATGTCCAACGAATCTTCAACTAATTTGGCCAATCAACCTGGAGAAGAAGAAGGTGGCCACAGAAGCAGCTCTAAAAAGTAATTACAATTTGGTTTTAATTGTTTTGTTTTGTTCTTAATTTGATCCGTTTTTTGTTTGTTTTTTGTTTTACCCAGTGCATTTGAGATATCTGTTTTATCAATGTTATACTAGTTGCTAATGTCTTACCTTTACTAAACACATTCACACTGTTTATTAAAAACTTTATTCTAAAATGGATGAAAATTTTAAATAAAACTGATACTTAGCAACACTTTTAAAATAAATGGTAAGTAATGAAATTTGCTTGTTAGGGAAACAGTTCACATGCTCTTCTCTGCTTCAGTGTTTTTTAAACATTTTTCATTGTTGGCTGATTGTTAGTGAAATGTTGATTTTTTTTTCATTTGCAAGAATAGATTTAGGATTGAATTAGTAGTAATAAAAGTATTTGATTCTTCAAGGAATAAGTATTTTAGTACATTGAAACATTAGACCTGCATTAGTCAAACAACTGACTTATTTCAATGAAGTAAACATTTTATTAATTTTATTCTTTGCTGTTTAATTTGTGGTTCAGATTTAGTCAATTTTTCTTTCTTTTTTTCTTTCCCATTTTATCAGATATAGGTGAGTAACATTTATTTTCTTAATTTTGAAACTATTTTATTATAATGTATTTTATTATTTATTTGTTTCATTCATCTAAATTCACAAAAACTTTTTGTATTAGTTCCTATGTCACATATTCAGTCTAATTATTACAAGATATCCTGAAGGCAACTATTACTAACATTATTACAAATTAAAACAATGTTTAAATTAATTAACTGGTAGCCCCATATCTTAATAATTGGCTGAATGCTTCATTTGTCATCCATAATAGCTGTCTTTTGATTATTTGATTTTAATTTACACATCTATCCTATTTTGTTAAAAGATATCTATCCACGATAAAAAATATTACCCTCAATGAGAAGGGGAAAAAAATTCAAATAATACTTTTTGGCACTATATACATGTTCATACCTACACAAATTATCATTAAATTCTAATATTTGCTTATTAGACTTAATAGAATGACAGGATTAAAAGTCATATCATTAGATTACATGGGTCTGAAAACCTACGTATTGAAATATTATTTTTTTTTTAATTAACTTAAAGAAGACAAAAATAGCAAATTATTTTTGCACAAAATAGTTTTATGCACTATTTTAGACATAATATGGGTTTGGTGAAATATTTAGATAAAATAAAAGTAGTACTTGACTGTTGTATTTTAAATAGTAGAAATTTTAAAGACACCCTCTTTTAGATTCCAGCACATACAATTTCAAGTTTCTTTAAGGAATATTTTGTTTCGATTTTCATTTTTTACTTTTTTTTTATACAAAAACAAAATCATAATTATTCTGCTCAATAGAGAATGTATCCTTACTATATTTTCTTAAAGTTGAAAAAGCTAAGTGATTTGACAAGATTTGGCATGGGTAAGATTAAGGTGGACCAGGAGTAGCATGACATTACACATTTAAACTTGACCAGCATGTGTTTCTTGCTGCTGTAGTTACTGTCATGTTAGGTTCAGAGCTCTCACTTAGCTAGTCTTGGAGTTATAGAAGCTCAGTGATAGCATGAACTAGCTTAGCTAGTCTTGCAGTTAGAGAAGCTCAGTGATAGCATGAACTAGCTCCGTTGAGGGAAAAAAAAATACAAAGTACACTCGGATGTCTGACCGCATGTTACATATCCAGGTGCACCCACACCCGTACGTCTGTGGGGAATTTCAAAAAGCCACCTGACCAGCTGAAAGATGTTGATGAGAGTTATGAGGATGCTGATGAGCCAATCAGCTTTGAGGTGGTAAGTGTGTGCATCCAGTCACATCGTCAGACGTTGGTTGCACTTTGTTGGGATCTGCATGGTGTCTGCTTGATCCAAAGGTTTACTCCACTTGTTGGTAGGCTAGGTGTTGATGTAGTGTTACCACCTGACACAAGATGGCCGCCTGCCTTCTTCTGCACATATTCAGTTTTACGTATGGAGATTTTAAACCATCTCCCAGCCACACTGTTTTTGGTTGTTTTCTTTTTATTAACGTATAGACAAAATTATGTGAATATCTTAAGGTTTAGCCTAGTTTCCTGTGTTGGTTTTACGGTTATCTATACTTATAACTTCGTCTTTAATATTGCATTATTTGTGTAAATTCTTTTTCCTCCTATAAATATTTTGGCCGGGTATCTTTATTGAAAGAGACATGTCTTGATACAAAATAGAAATACTGGAAGCAAATGGTGTAATTTAAAATTAAGATGCTAAATATTAATTTTGAAAATAATTGCATTTTGGTTTGTTTTTACAGCATTACACTGTTCAAAGCATTATTTGTCTAGTCATAAATGTGACATTGATGAAAAGCATGTTTTAGATTTTACTACATCGGTGAATGTACTTGATACATTTTTTCAAAAATGGAAATCTAAATAAAATTCAATAACTTAAAACTAATTAAAAGAATGTTTTAATGTTGTTCCGCTTGAATGTTATTTCACAACAAAGTGTTGTAACAAATCATTCACCCATGTATCAGGTATAAGAAAAAAAACATGTAGACATACTAAAACTTTAATTTGAATTTGTGTATTAATTGTTACAGAAATCCTTACTTAATGTATGAATATAGGTGAGCTCCTGTTGTATTACATATCTTGCTTGTTGAATTTTATATAACATTAATAACAACATTTTCATTTTAACATTGAAGTTGTCTTTTGCGGAAGAATTTCCACTTTTAAAAAATCTTTCGTTTGAGTATAGTAAATAAATTCAGTTATCAATAAGGTAGGCCTACTCCTTATTATGTTCGATGTAAAAAAATTACTATTTGCTGATAATGGTGATTTTAAATATATTATTTAGATAAAGGTCCAGTAGGCTAGTGGGTTACCACTAAAATATAAATTTTGAGAGTAGATATCAAATGGATAATTCTTCCTCAATAGCAAATTAACAAAAATACAGTCATTTTTATTTTTATAATATTGTATTCAATAACTTATTATAACATATTATAACTACCACATGAACTACATGTTGTGCCGTCAAATATTGTACTTAAAACCAAAATCAGCATTTAAGATACAGTTCTAAAAAATTAAATTTCTAGTGATTATTTCTTTCAATTTCTTCCTAATTTTTTTTAAAAATGGGAATAAACCACCAATTGGTCATTTTTTAAATTATCTTTCTAGCAGTTATCTCATGTAAAGCTTATATAATTTAGTACTTAAAAGCAGTTTTGAATACAATCTTTTTAAACTAATTTAAATGCTTATAAAGCCTATTTTAATGGTCACACTATGAGGTAAGTTTAATATTAGTTATTTATAGAAATTAAAGGATGCAAAGTATGTGGAGTCAACTCTAACAAAGAATATACTCAATTAACCATGCATGTTCAATTTTACTTTTTTCCCTGCCTGATTCCGTTCTTAGTCCAGTAATGTTTAATACATGTATTACATTTTAATCCAAAAGTAACTTGTACCTAAAGGACATTGATATAATCAACAATGAGAAAATCTTTTTTTTTTCATGGGCTGATTGTTTTTCAAAGAAATTGGATAAACATGATTACTTTTTTTAAAAGAAAGGCTCTTTTCTTTTTGACTGCTGAGTTTTTTTTATATTTATTTTTGACTCTTAAGTAGGTCCTACTTAATAATAATAATTAATTAATTATTTCATTCACAATATTAGTATCCATCTTTTTAAATCTATTATTGTATTTCAGTCATGTTTATACTAATAGTACTATTACATAGCCTTTAAATTTTATAACTTTTTATTTAGAAATCTTGAGTGAAGATTTTTAACAGAGAATTTTAGTTGTGAAATATTTTTAAAAGTAGCTTAGAATCTAGTAGATAATTTTAAGTAGGCTAAAATCAGTAATTTTTCACTTTCCAAAGATAGGATAACTGCTATGTCGCTAAAATCTTACCGTGCCAAAGTTTTATTTATTTCAATTTATCCAAATATTTTAGTTATGAAGTCTATGTCCTTTTGTAAAATCAAGATTCAAAGTAATTAAAAACAAAGTCCCTTAAATAAATAGGCTGTGATTATTATTTTTAGATATATATTGTACTTCAAAAATTAGCTTTTGATGAAATCTTCATTAATGACTTGATGTTATGTTTTGACAGAATATAAGTTATATATAAAGGTTATGTTGGGTTTGAAATTTTATTTGAATTAATAATGATGAATCATTATATATATATATATATGTTTATATATGCCTAAAAATATGATTAACCTAATCTTCCTATTGTTACCTTAACCAGCATTTTAAAATTACTCTTAATGTTTGCTTTTCAAGTGATGATGAATTATTTCAGAGCAACACCTTTGTTTATATATTATAACTGAACATATTTGGAATTAAGGGAATTTCATTTAAATAGCTAATGGCAGATGAATGTGCTTTCATGTTTCTAAATGTATGTTAAAGAGCATATTTTATTGCAAAAAAAAGAGGGGGAAAGTCACCTTTTAAATAAATAAATAATTTTTTAAAATTAAGTATAAGTATAATAAATGTTTTTTATAAAACTAGCGATAATAATTTTCATCTATTTAAAAAAATAAATCCTTTAAATTTGTGTCTTCCAGAAAACAGAAGAAGCATAGTTCAAAGAGAAATGGCAGCAAACCACAGCTGGGTGGGGTTAAAGAAGAATCAGAGGAGCACGGGGTCCCTGCCAGCCCGCTGTCGACATCACCGTCCAAGAAGAAAACACCAGTGAAATTTTACATTGAAGAACACGACGATCATGAAGAAAAAGACGCTTTGATTAAACCACCTGAAATTGTGGTGGATCCCCCTAGTGATGTTCATGCCAGGACACCTGACAGGGACTCGTTGGGGGATCGCAGGTGTTGACCCAGACATTGATCTATTTGTGATATGGCCATTTCATTTATTTATCTAAGTCTCAGCTCATACATTCAATGCATGGAAATTCAATAAGTTGTTGTGTCACCAGTCACACTAGGCGCATTATTTTTTAGTTGAGTTATATCTAGATTTTTTTTTGCTTATTTGGGACACTAATATCATGAGCTTTTTGGATTTCAACAAGTCTTGTGAGGTTAATCAATACCATTAGTTGTTTTATAATCAGCAATTATATTTACATGATTGAGTTTTGTTTTTGTCCATTTTATTATTGTCCATAAAATGTTTCTGTTATTTTATACATCTGTTCATTGGGGGAGAAAACTTTTTATTTTATTCTGTAACAATACTGCTACTTATGTTTGTTTACACATCTATATTTTATTTATGAATTCTTTTTTCCTCCATTTTGAATATTTAACTACCTTGATTTTAATAAATCAAATATATGGTGTCATACAACATTTTTTTAAATTAAAATTTTTGAATGCAGATATGTGTGTAAATAGTTTGTTAGATATCTAATTGTGATTAGCTTCCTACCTCTTATAGCAGCAAGATATGACCAAAAATGTAGGTCTTAAGTTTTCTTTCTGTAACTTTTTATTAAAAGGAAATAATCCAAAAACTATCACTATTTGAAATCCACTTTTAAAATCCAAAATTTTCATCATGTATTATACCATGATGAACTACAATCTTCAAAAGCTTTTTTTTTTTATTCCCCATTATCGAGCAAAAATCACTGCTAATCAGGGTAGTTTGATGAAATCCACTTTATTATGTATTCCTGCAGTGGGAGAGAAATGTCTTCTATGAAAACATATTGTGTATTTAAATCAAACATTATCTGCTGTACTGTGATACAAAGTTCACTTTATTTAAAATGAAGTCGTAGTTGTTGATTTAGTTCAATCAATTTAACCAAACTTGTAATTGTGCTTACTAGGAAAAAATGAAATGTTTCATATTGGACAAGAGCATAAACATTTATTGCCTTTGTTTTCCATTCACATTTAACTTTTGTTTATCGAGAATGACTATAGTTTTAACTTTTACTGTTGAACTAAATTAAAATGTTTTATCAAATAACTCAAAATTAAAAAGAAAACTTTATTAAGCTTAACATATCACCATAGACAAGCTGTGTAATAGCTGTTGTATGTTTCTGCAAGCAAGGCTTTAATTTTAAATTATTTGAAACAAGACTGGAAAATAAATTCAAACTTTCTTGTTTGATGTTTTTTTTTTATGCATAATAATTGTTTTTCTGGAAAATCCATTTTTATTACTGTCCATATTTTATCATTCTTGCATCATTTTATTTTTTATCATCAATTTTTTTTTATTTATTAATGGTCCTGTTTTTTTGGATACACATTTACATAAATTCGTTTCCATAATCCATAAATTTGATGGAAACTTGCTGTGGTTTTTTAATGATCTGGATTTTAAAATGTAATTTCCTTTTACAACTTAAAGAAAACATGGCTTATAAACATTTATTACACTAGTCATCATTACCAGTCATGTTACTTTTATTTGCATAACAAAATGAAAAGCAGTCACATTTGAGTTAATTTAATGTTTTTCCATTGTATTGTAATTTTTGTTTTTTTGCCAATATGTTTTTAATAATTTTATTATGAATGACTGAGTCTCGTAAAATCATTTTTCATTTTGGATTGCATAAGTACCATAAAATGCATGATTTGTGTGGCATTTACTTTACCAAGCTTTTAAAATGCACGCCACACCAATATTGTTGTAGTATTATAGATATGCGTAAAATAAAGTGCTAGATCGGCTAAATAACAGTGCAGTGATGTAATAATATCTAATTTATTTATTGACTTTTTTTTAGAAGTTTTTAGTAGTTTAATTCATGATGTATAGTGTGTACAATAACAAGCATATAATTGTTTAACAATTTCATTTCTCAAAAAGTAGCAGTCATTTTGATACTTATATCAAAAACCTTACCATCAAGGATCTGTACTTTCAGTTAAATTATGAAACATTATTTCATTCTCATCTTAAATGTAGAGTGTTAATGTAAAAATTACTAGTTTGTTAAAAAAAAAGTTTTTCTAGTAATACTAAAGAGTATGCAATTTATGAATGGAAATACATTGTTTTATAGCAAACTATTTATCTTGTACATAGTTGTATAGTTGACTTGCTGTACATACTAAAATGTAATGTATTATTTTTTGTAATTAAAATCCACTATTGACATGAGAAGTAGCTCAATGCCTTCTGTAATACTTTCAAGACAAATCAAGGATTCTATCTCTTTTTTGTTTATTAACAAAACTCAATTTGCTGATTTGTAAGGCTAAAAATTGTTTGTCTTAGTATATCTAATAATCAATCGTTGTTTTTTTTTGTTAGATTTTTTTTTTTTTTTTGTCATTTTCCAAACAATGCAAAGCATACTAGTTTGTAGTAACAGTTAATGATATAATTTACTGCATGATTTGAAATACATTGACAACAGTAGACATCTTTGTCCTAGAGTATGTGAAAAGATGTGTGTGCTATTTATTTAGATGTGATCAGTACCATTCGCATAGAACTCTTTCATGTTTTCCAGCATTGGGGCTTCATCTGATGAGGTATGTTCAAGCTATCATCTTGTAAATAAACTATTTTCTGAGACAGTGTGTTGTGTGTCTGTGACTGCATCGTCTATTTATGAAAAAATGCTTGCAATGTGAAAAAGAGTTGAAACAACATCTGAAAGGAATCATCCGAGCATGCGTGGTTAAGAGCCCTTGTTGCTGATGTGAAAACAAACATGTTACATTTATCCACTTCAAATGTCCATATCACAAATCTATTCATTGCAACCCTGTTGGCCAAATCTATATCAAATGAGTTGAAATAAAACTAGCAATTGTTCTGAAACACATACAGTAAGAAATTTTGCTTTGTTTTATTTTGTTTTAAATTGGACATAGTTTTGTTAACTAAGAGTTGATCATGTTTATGTCAGAGGCTGAATTTTTTTTTTAACCTAAAAAAGTATTATAAAGTAACGGACATGCCAGATAAGTTTAGAGTGCTCTGCAATGTGTAGAATGCAGAATTTTATTTTTATAGAGATTATGTATAGTGCATCATACAGCTATGTGTTGTAATTTTTATCTTTGTCATATCATCATGTCCTAGTTAGTGCCAATGGAGGTATTGAGATGAAATTTTATAATGGCACTGATTTGGGGTACTTGTTTTTGTTTAAGTGAGGTTTCTAAAACTCTTAATACTGTCAACAGCTAAAACATTTTTTATAGAGGTATGTTTTCATCATCATCAAATCCCTGTTCTATCCAACTGGTTATTTAAAAAAAAATTATCTTATTTCCATACCTCAAATAAAGATCAGGATTGAAATACAAACTAAGGGAAAAAAATTAGAAAACATTATGATTCTTAAAAAATTAGTTCTACAAATGTTACTTGCATGTATCAGAAAATAATGTAAACAAGATGACTTTTTGCGATGTTGTATTTGCACAACCATAATGTTTTATCTCTGTGAAGAGAAATAAAATGTCAAGATATCTTTGGCAAACCTCAGTGTGATAACAATGTGATTCAGAACTCAAACCATAGGAGTTACCAGTGCATTTTTAACATCTGTTGCTGCTTTGTATTCTTGCATTAAAAATAGAATTTATCAAAACTAAAACATTGCTTTATGTTTTGAAACTCTATTTCTTCTTTATATTAAATTACCATATGGGCATAGTTTTAAATGTAGAACTAGTACTACTAATGAATAATAAACGAATGACTCAAATATACATATTTGTATACGGTAGCCAGTAAAGCAATAATGATGAATTATATATTGCATATATAGGGGATATATTTTTAATATATATATATATATAATATATATATTATATATATATATACACTAAACTAAGGTTTTATATATATATATATATATATATAGGCTATATATATATATATATAGGCTATATATATATATATATATATATATATATATATATATATAGGCTATATATATATATATATATATATATATATATATATATATACACATCAATTTAAACTTCTTAGGGTATATTGAGAAATCAGAAATAAAGTAAAGTACCAATTCCTGTTACCGGAAATTGCTCAAAATTTGAAAGAATCTAATCTAAAACGTGTACATGAAATTTCGTCCACCTAACTGAAATGGTACTCAAGTAATCGGGTAGTCCAACATACACTGACAATGTTGGGTTTTTCAGATTACCTACACGAGAAGGGGGTTGGGTTCACCAAAATTTCTAAAATGAAAACTTTTGACTACTGATTAACTGGTTGATTAACTCCACAATATTTTAACTTAAGTAGCTTTTCAAGCATCGAGTGACCTCTGCTGAGATGAGGGTGATACCACGTTGGTTTTAGTAGCCTACATCCAAAGCCTGTTTGGACCTGATTGACCTATACACACACCATGAAATAGCACGGCGGGTGACACTGCTTGATATACAATCTACACGCATACTGACATAATATATTGATCGGGGATCCCCAAAAGCCAATATAAGATACTTGGGGAAATACCACAACCTCCATTAGATGACCCAAAGCTTTCATTGGAGCCGGCTCACCTGACCAGGATTTGGACTGCAGGTACAAAGGGAACCCATGGAATCGTGCACGTTTTATGTAAAACAAAGGCAGCGATTTCAAAGTTTCTTCTAGGCAGAAAGTCTACCGCCCCACCCCCCGGACGAGATAGAATTTATATAGAAAACATATATTTTAACCAATGTCTGCCCCCCCCCCCCCCCCCAGGAGAAAAAAGTCGGGAAACACTGAGCGGTTTCACAAGTGTGACAAGGCGAGGTTACGGTTGGCACCATTAAAAGGGCGTCACCAGCTCTATAAATCACAAAACAACGTAAAAGGGTAAGAAGATAGGCTCGGTGACGGCTGTGGTTATTTCAAAGCAAAAACAACAAACGTCGTTATAGTAACGCCACTGCACGGATGATGAATGTGTGACGACAAAACGGTCCCGACTTGAGAGCCCCTCCCCCCCCCCCCCCCTCAAATCGACCCAGTCAAAAGGGCCAGCGATAAATGGAACTCCGTCATTTAGGCTAATTGGCTCCTGTCATTACGACTCCCGACAAAACGGCTACCATGATTTTGGCTCTCGGTAAAAGGGCTCCTGACAAATACGGTTTCCATAGAGACTAAGTCTCCCGCAAAACGGACTCGTTGAATATGACACCTGCCATTGTGACATTTTTATCAATAATATTTAGAGTTAGCTTAGCCAACACCTTAAAATAATACAACGTATACATCTCTTGTTTGGCAGGTCTTATTTTTATATTATTTTATCTAGTATAAGAAATGGTATGTTTTGAATTTAAGGGTCATCTAGCTATGACTTCCTTTAAATGAGTCGGTTGTGGGCTGTTCCAATTCATTGTGTCGGGAGAGAGGTCCACACTGAATGTGCAGTATGCTTGTAGTTTATCAAAACAAAACGTCATTTATCATATAAACATCCAGTATACCAGAGGCGTAGCAAGGGGGGGGGGCGGGGGTGCGGACCGCACCGGGTGACACCATTTAGAGGGGGGGGGGTACACCAAGGCAAAAAATAGCAAAATATATAGAGAAAAACTTGAGGGGGGTGCAACTCGAAAATTTGAGGGGGTGCATCGAAAGTTTGAGGGGGGGGCGCAAATCGAAAGTTTGAGGGGGGTGCTAATCGAAAATTTGAAAGTTTGTCCCCGGGAAGGGTTTCTACGCCTCTGGGGGTGACACCATTAAGTGCCGCACCGGGTGACACCCGACCACTGCAGCATACGATACATTTAATCCTCTGCGCTCGCTTTTAATTAAGCAACAGATGTTCACTGTTGTAAATAAAACATTATTTTAAAAATTCAATTGGTGGAATTGAGCTGTAAAGCTCTATTTGTTCGTGAATTGCTATTGTTTCATGAAAAAAATTGGTGGGTTGGACAAAATGGTGTATGGCAAAAGTCATGGTCATTGGATTTATTTGTCGGGAGCCAATATGATCATTATGATGTGAAACTTTTAATCGAGAGCCAATATGCCGGGGGCCCATTTATCGGGAGCCTACATTTCGGGCCCCTTTTGACCAGGTTATTTTGATTGGATCGTTTTGCCGGGGGAGGGGGGGGGGCGGGCTGATTTTTCGGGGGAGTTATGACGGATCTGTTTTGTCATGGGCCGTTTTAAGGTGCGGTGGTATGTTGTGTTACAATAAGGGAAGGGAGTGGTAAGAAGGCAAGGTTATGTAACAGTATGGGGGAGGGGGGCTTTAAAATAATATGAAAGACTCCTGAACAGGTCTACAAAATAACTATTCAGGGATCGTCCATAATTGACGTCACACTCGTAGGGGGAAGGGGGGGGGGTCCGTAATTTTGTGACGGTGTGTGATGAGAGGGAGCGGGGATGTTCAGATGGCGCGACGTCGCATTTTTGCGTTATAAAAAAGCCATGTTAGAAAACGAATTTTAGACGTTATTTCGCGTTTTAGAAAACGGTTTTAATAAATTGTAATAGGAATTGATTAAAATACTTTATTTTGACAGAGTTCAGACAAGATTTTGGAAAAATATCGATGTTAAAAAAAAATGCAATTGCAATTTGAGGGGGGGGGGGGTGTAGGCTGAGGTGTGACGTCATTTTAGGGGGGGGGGGTTGGCTTTTTGCGACGATGTGTGACGGAGGGGGGGGGGGTAAGGTAAAAATCGTCCAAAAAAGCGTGACGTCATTTATGGATGACCCCCCTCAATGTATAATTTTAAAAAAAACATCGTGTTTCGGGATAACAAAGGAGTTATTAACGATCCAATGCATTGAAGAAGAAAAAACTTTCTAGGTTACCCCGTTCCGATGTAGCGTTGAGGCCAAAAATATTGAGAGAGGGATGTTCATAAATTGTAGCCACACGGGAAGGGATGGTGACGAAATGTTACGTAATTTGTATTTGGTTTAAAAAAGAATGATCAAGATTATGCATGAAGATCTACAAATACTATGCAATGTAGAATTCAATATGTAGGATACATTAGAATAATTACATAGATCTTGTTTTGATTGAGAAGTGCAAACATGAGTCTATTTTATTTTTAAAGTCTGTCGAGTTCTGTCGAAAAAACCAATAAGCAGCCTACCGTTAACTTGAATCTAAGATATTAATTCTAATAGCTAAATATTTTAGATAAATTATAGGTCTATTTAAGTATTTATATACCAAGGGGGTGCAAAGTATTATTATGTAGGCTTACTTAGGGCGTATGCTTTTACGCCGATGTATACCGTATATATAAGCAGTCCTGGCATATAGTCTAGTTCTATTAAATTTTTATTTTTTCACTTCCTTACTTGGAACTACTTTTTGATAAACCACCGGATTAAAGGGGAGTCAAATCGGGGTGTAGATGGAAAATGGCGGACATCGATCATTGGATAGAAGTCGCTAAACAATGCAAATATTTGCCAGAAAATGACTTAAAGGTTGCATTTAGTTACATTTTATTATTCCGCTCACTATATAGTTTGATTATTTATTTAATGTATGGTGTATATTCTATTACAAATGCTTTAAGGTGTTGTACAGTTTTTAAATTTTTGACATCACAGTCTCAGTTGAGTCTGGTCCGGAATGATCCAGGCCAGGCAAGAATTTATTTGAATTGTAAAATTTTCAATTAGAATTCTGAAACCTGAGCTTCTAACCAATGCAAGCTGTTTACCGTGTTATAAAAAGTATTTTGTAAACTGTGTACAATAGCGTGCTGTTTACATTGGCCTGTCGTTTTTTAAAAAATGCCAGAAAAAGAAGGTAAACAAAAAATGTCAGATCTAGAAAAAGTAGAATCTACGTAATCTGTCGTTTTATAGGCCGTTCGAATTCACAGCTTCCGGGTTTGTTGTTTTGAAGCCATCTCACGGCTCATGCGCTTACCAAAAATGGCGACCAGTTTCGCTTTCACTAATGGGTAGAGGGATAAAACTAATGATTACGAAGCCATCGTTAATTTTAGACATCGGAACTATCCGTTTCTATTTAAGTCTGTTGTTTAAGAATTGTCGGATCTACTTTTGGCCTAATTTCTTTGTTTGTATTTAACGAGGCCGTCGAGAGAAAGTCACGCTTATTTAGCTTGCGTTTCAAGTCGAATTAACTAAAGCAGGTGCGCTCGACAATAACTTTTTTATTTTTTACAATTTTTATAACATCTTTACTATCAAATAAAAATTGAATTGTTTAATGAAATTAGGGTGAAAACAATACATTTGAGGGTGTAAGTGATCACCCCTCAATAATGCCATTTTATTATATTCTTGTTTGGTGAAAACGAGGCGCGGGAAAATGTGTGCCGCGCAAGAATCCAATCATTTGGCTAGATTTATGACTGTTTTTTATGTCATACCTAAAAATAGAATGTTTACGCTTTCTTCGTTGATGATCGTTTTTATTATTTTTTAAATTGAAAGTATGAATTATTAGTTAGATTGCGGATTTTGTAACTTGGTATACTTACCTTTTATCAATTTAAAAAACATAGCATGCTAATTGTGAACAAATATAGTCATAAAACACAGAAATATAAAGTTATAATTGCGATGTGCCACACCCGGGCCACACCCCCTCAAGAAAGCATGTGTTTATTAAGCTGTTTATCTCACTTTACAACAGTAATTAAAATTAATTTTCAAATTTTTATCACTTATTGGGTAAGATTAAGCACATGTTTACAAAAAATAAAAATAAAACAAAAGCAAATTCTGTTTTAATGAAGGTCACGGGTGAAGTTTTTTTTCCTTCTGTCACGTTCAGTGGAGGGTGCCACAGGCTGACCTGACTTTGGAATTTTTTTCAGTAATAATGACTTTGCACAGAAAGTTAAAATATGCTAAATTAGCTTAGTTTACTAGTGTTCTAGCTATTATTGATACATTTTTAATAAAAAAATCATTCTGTAATTCTCATCAAACAGCCTACGTTTTAGGTAGCTACGTAAAATCGCCCGCGACTATTAATGTGAAAAACAGGTGAATCCTTAAATTTTAATACCTATTTCACACTTTTAAGGAGGATTTATGTTTTGAAAAATACAAAAATGTTTCCTTGTTTCATTTATGTAGGCCTACGCCTACCTGTTTTTAAACAATTGAATTAAAATTTTTCAGTAATAAATGAAGACTAGCGATGTTTCCAACAGATGCAACCATGCTCATTTACTATAGCAGCCATCTTGTTTAAGTTTTTTTTTTTGCATACTTGTAGCGCAAGATTCAGGGGAAGCCACTCTAACTTACAGATGGCTGATTTTTATATAGCAAATCCTGCTCGCAAACACTGCTGTTTAAAGTCAATTTCTTGCTTATATTGATACATTTAGCCATTGATTTAGATTTATTATTCACTTATCTATAATATTTGACACAAATATAACAAAATATACTTATTTTAAAGCCTTGACAATGAGGTAATCTCGCAAGCGGCGCCTTAGTGAAAGTAGCTCTATGTATTGTTGTCTTTCAAATTAAATAACTCTACAATAGGCCTATCGCTTCGATAATAAACCAGCCAATTATAAAAGCATAGCATGCTGATTGTAACAAATATAGTCATAAAACACAGAAATATAAAGTTTCAATTGCGATGTGCCACACCCGGGTCACAGCTCCTCAAAAAGCACATGTTTATTAAGCTGTTTATCGCACTTTACAACCGTAATTAAAATTAATTTTCAAATTTGTATTACTTATTTGGGTAAAATTAAGCACATTTTTACTACTAATAAAAAAAAACAAAGTAAATTATGTTTTAATGAAGGTCACAGGTCAAGTTCAGTGGAGGGTGCCACAGGCTGACCTTACTTTGGAATTTTTTCAGTAATATTGACTTTGCACAGAAAGTTAAAATATGCTAAATTGGCTTAGTTTAGTGTGCTAGCAATTAATGATAAAGTTTTAATAAAAAACATCATTTTGAAATTTTTATCAAAATACCTACCTATTATGTTAAGCAAATGGTAGGGCCTAAGCAATGATTTGAATTCAAAGTAATCTATCGTTTTAGGTACATAAAATTGTCCGAGGTTCGTAATGTGAAAAGAAAAGGTGACTCATTAAATTTTAGTAATTATTTTACATTTATAGGAGGATTTATGTTTAAAAGCTTTCAAAAATGTATCATAGTTTCATTAGACCCTACTTACTTTGCTTTTTTTTTTTTTACACAAGTTTGAGAAAAAAGGTCTAGCTAGTCTAGTAAAATCTAGTTCTAATTAAATTGGCCTAATCACAGTGATCTTATGTTTTAATGAGAAAACTAACGATTTCTTCTGTTTTTAGAAACTTTGTGACATGGTATGTGAACTTCTACTTGAAGAATCTAATGTGCAACCAGTCCAGTCACCTGTCACAGTTTGTGGTGACATCCATGGCCAGGTGTGTTAATTAAATACTGTATTTAGATTTTAGTTAGTAATAGGCGACAAATTATTTATTGGTTAGGGGTCATCCATTTATGACGTCCACAATTTTTTGGGATTTTGGACCCCCCCGTCCACGAAAATCCACTTTTTTCCTTATATAAGTCCATATGCGTCCACAAAAGTCAGTTTTTTTTCGGGGGCCCCCCCCCCCCAGCGTGTGGCCGTCATAAATGGATGACCCCTTATTTAAAGCTGTTTTAACCAGTATTACCTGTAAAAAAAGCAATGTGTTGTAGCTGTTCTTTCCTCTTAGATTTTCTTCTAACCAAGGTTATCCTTGTTTAAGTTGTATATTTTATTTCCTTGATTTAGTTTTATGATTTAATGGAACTGTTCAGGACTGGGGGAGAGATGCCAGACACAAACTATGTTTTTATGGTGAGCAACTTTCCATTATTTTTAACTTCATTATTGAATTTACAATTTATTTTTAATAGGCTACATCTTTTAATAAGATAATTTTGTATTAATCATGGCTCTGTTGTAATCTTCTTTCAGGGTGATTTTGTAGATAGGGGTTATTTCAGTTTAGAAACTTTCACACTTTTACTCACACTGAAGGCCAAGTAAGTGATCCCTTTTCTTTTAGTCTAAATTAGATTGATTCAAGATTTCTTGTTTTGTTCGCTAAACTCTAAAATATTTATTTTATTTACATTTATTTCTAATTATGTATTTTGTTTAGATGGCCAGATAAGATTGTGTTGTTGCGTGGTAACCATGAAAGCAGGCAAATCACACAGATTTATGGGTTTTATGGTCAGTACTACTTTACAAAGTATGTTCATGAGAATAGTTATTTTACTATAATAAAAAAATTAGATCAAAATATTTCCATTCCTACTTACACATAAACTATTTTAACAGCAATACATTTTCTATTTATTAAAAATTTGTTGCAACTATTTATCAGATGAATGCCAGTCTAAATATGGGAATGCCAATGCTTGGAGATACTGTTGTCGTGTTTTTGATTTGCTGACCATAGCTGCTGTAAGTCACTTTTTTTTATCATATAACTTAACTAGTTGCTGATACACTTGATTAGTTTGATGTTAGTCTGTGGTATTAGTTTTCTGACTTATTTGTTTTTATAAAAATACTTTTATTTCTAGGTTGTATATTCAATGTGTTGTTGTTTTGAAAAAGTTCTAGATCATTGAAATTCTTTAAAAATTGTATGTATCTATTATGTAGTTGTTACAAATTATTATAGATCATTGATGAGGTTATACTCTGTGTACACGGTGGTCTCTCTCCTGACATAAAAACTATTGACCAGATCAGAACGATTGAAAGAAATCAAGAAATCCCTCACAAAGGAGCATTCTGTGGTAGGATTTTGTTTTTTTAATTTACTATGTTTGCACTACTCAAAGAATCAATAATTTATTTATTTATTTAATAACAAAATATTATTGAAATAAATAATCTCAGTAAATTGTGCTTAATGGTTGAGAATATATCTGCTACACACAGCTTATATATATATATATATATATAGATAGATAGATAGATAGATAGATAGATAGATAGATAGATAGATAGATAGATAGATAGATAGATAGATAGACAGACAGACAGACAGACAGACAGACAGACAGATAGATAGATAGATAGATAAACAGGTTATTGTGTACAGATCTTAGATTCTTTTTTTTTGACATAGCATGTGTTATATTCATACTGCTCATACATAAATATCTTCAATGTTTCTTTCTCTGTAATATAAAACCAATTATTTTGTCCAGATTTAGTTTGGTCTGACCCTGAAGATGTGGATTCCTGGGCTATGAGCCCTCGGGGAGCTGGGTGGCTTTTTGGTGCTAAAGTCACAAATGAGGTAGATAATTAAATTATAAAAAGTATAATAAAAATATGGCTCTGTACTTCAGTAAAAATGCTGTGCCTTATTTCATCCTGTTTAATGTTACACTTTTATTTTTCTTCAAATTGATCTGGGGAAAATTAGAAATATATGATTTATTAACCATTAATGTCCCATTCATTCTACCAAAACTCCACCCATGACGGCCCAATGTAAGGAGCATAACTCTGTATGATCAAGTGAATAGTTTCACAAAATATTTGTTTTTGTCTAAATGAAATTGAAAATTAAGATAAAAACTACTGCTTAATGTTGGGAATAAACCTTTCTTTCCAACAGTATTAAATAGAATATATTATATTCGGTAAAAGTACAGTATAAAAATAAAAAATGTCGGAGAAAATTCAAAACAGGTCATTTTCGGTAGTCAACTTTATTTATTTTTGTCTAAACAACTATGCATCGAATTTAACAGTTAAATATCAATTTGGTTATGTTTAACATATATAATTCATAAAATACATGCCTAGATACGTTTAGAGGCATTAATTTTTTAAATTTTTAATATTAAATCTACTAAAAATACGACAGATGAGTCGAAAATTTCGAGATAGAAAGAAACTAATATTTTTTATCTTTCAAAAGCGCCATTAAAATTAGAAGACCGGAAAAGGATGCTGAAACCATCCGACTTCCTGTTTAGTTAAAAATTAGAATTTGTAGGCCAAATTTTAATGAAACAAATTTAATTTTTCTATGCGTATTGTAAGCGGGCGGCAGCGGGCGTTACGGGACATTAACGGTGTCGGGCGGCAGCGGGCGTTACGGGACATTAATGGTTAATCACTGTTACTTAAAAAAATTATTATAAAATATAATAAAAGTTTTTAAACAATCAAGCAATGCTATTTTAAGTACAAAACAACAACTATATTATTTTAATGTTATGCTATTTTTATTTTATCTTCCAATAAGGCACTCTGTCATGTGTATTTTTTAATAATTTTTTCTTTGCAGTTTGTCACACTGAATGGTTTAAAGTTGATATGCCGTGCTCATCAGCTGGTTAATGAAGGTTAGTTGCTACTCTGATTTTAGATGCAGTCTTTTGCTTCTCTGATTTTAGATGCAGTCTTTTGCTTATAGGTCGTGGAAGGCTGGAGTTTGGTCAGGTGTGACATCCACAGGGTGACAGGACACTTGATCTCAGACAAAATATCTCATGGACAAAAGATACCATGGGCAATTGATTTCAGACAAAATATCTTACAGTAAAATATGTATAGTATTTAGTATTATTTTAGTTGATTTTAATATTTTTTTAAAATGGATGTCATATGGATTTCATTTATATTTTTACACATAATTATTGTTAGATATACTACAGGAATGACTTAAATGTAATAAAAAATCAAAAGACTGAGTAAATTTACTTTTGAAAAAAAAAATAGCAATTTATATGAAAGTATTAGACAAAAAAATGCAAAAGACAAATAAAATTATGATATAATTAAATTAACCACATTAATGTTAAAACAAGTAAAATAGTTTTCAAAAAAATAATTTTTGTCTACATGTTCGTTATATGAAATTGGTGTTTTTGTTGTATCATCAACGCTTTCTGTTGTCCAGCGTAATCTGACTTTTTAAAAAATGTGCATATGCCATCTGCAATAAAAAGAAAGAGCTGACTAATCACCACTAATAGTGCTTAGTTTGCATGCAAACTATAAATAACTTTGCTCCGAAATGAACAATGTCGTTAAACAAGCATGTGTCGACTGAGCACTAAGGTGTTGCCAAATGATCGGCAAGTCCACTACACTGTATATAAAAAATTAGTTACAAAATTAGTTTAAATGTTATATTTGTAATTTTAATATGCTTAATGCAATTTGACAAAACTTTTCTCACAATTATTATGTGTAAAAACTGTAAATAAATAAAATCCTAAAGACAGTCAGATTTTAAATGTTAAAATGGACTAAAATAATCTCTTATACTATACACATTTTGTCAGAGATCATGTGTCATGGAACCCATAGTTTATATTTTTATAGGTAATTTGTTTTATAAAAGGGCAAATCTTTTTTTATTATTATCCCTATGTTGCCCAAAACTGAAAACTTTCATTCTTAACTCTCTTGTGCTCCAGACAACAATTTGTTTTGTTTCCCTAGTTTTTTTTCATACTTCACCAAGATTAAGCTTCTATTGTTCATCTCTGATCTATTTCTAGGTTACAAATTTATGTTTGATGAAAAGCTTGTCACAGTGTGGTCTGCACCCAACTACTGCTACAGGTGTGGCAACATTGCCGCCGTGCTGTCCTTCACAGACTCAGAACACAGGGAGGCCAAACTCTTCCGCGCTGTGCCAGACAGCGAGCGCGTCATCCCTCCCAGAAACCAAACACCCTACTTCTTATAACATTGTTTTTATATTTTTTTTTTAAATTAGATTTAAAATTGTTGATGAAAATATTGCACATTATTTTTTAGCAACATGAGAGATGGTTTGAAAATATTCATTAATGCAATATGATCAATATTTTAAAATGTTAAAATACTAAAGGTTTAAAAAAAAATGTATGAAATGGCATTTCATTAAGTTGTAAAAATGTCATTTAGCATTAATTTAACAGTTTGGGAGAAAATGTAATGATCAAATGTTTCTGAATGGTATACACTTACGTCTGTGTATTTAATTTTACTAGACATTTTTATTTTTAAAAAGTTAAATAAGACAAATTAAATACTAAATAATTTTTTTAGACATTTTTAAAGGCCAAGCATTAATTTATCACTGTGAACTATAGTTTATCAATTGCCTGTCATATTTTTATAGTACACTTCATGCAAGGTGGTGTACTTGACTGTACTTAACCTTTCTTGCACTGTGTAATGGAATAAGATTAGTTGACATGTAGTTCTCAGCAGTCAGTATTTTTAAACAGCTGGTGTACATTAAGACACAGGTCATGTTTCTTATGTGTGTGTAAATAACTGACAGGTCAACCTATGGTTAAAGATTTGTTGGATAAATTAAACACATTGAACTGCTACATATTATGTAATATATTTTACAGTTTGTAATCATTTTTAAAGTTGTGAATGAGTGAGTGTGTTGACAACCAACAAAGGTTTTTATCAGTACTTTGTACTGATTGGTTTATCAGTACTTGTGCTGATTAGTTTATCAGTACTTTGTGCTGATTATATTTCTTTGTAACTTGTTGAAGCATAAAAAATACCAAATTTTTTTGTAAATGTTCATCAATGAGAAAAACAAAATTTCCAAACATGCACTTGGTGTTGTTTTTTTTGTTTTTTTTTTAGTTATTTATTGCCAGAACTCAATTTAGTAGCTTAGCTAGTCGTAATTTTAAGTTGTTGGGCAATTGAGGTTGTGGCCCCTTGAGCAACAATCCAGAGAAACCATCGTTGTATGGGGTACATAAACAACGACCCACTCCTTGGGGGGAGGGGGGCAGTGTTAAAAAGTTTTCTATATAAATTCCATTTCGTTCGGGAGCCTCTCCCCAGAGGGGGGGGGGGGGACATTAGTCCCCGGGTGCCGACCTTAAGGGGTTATGGGTTGGAAACCGAAAGTTTGGCGCCGGGAAGGGTCGCTACGCCTGAATTAAACTTGGGGGTGAGAGGTAAGACTTAAGTGATGGCACATTTCTGTTATAAACGTAATATTTGAAATTTAGTTTTCACATTTATGAAACACTTAATTTGCATATCTATATATATAATTCTCTTCTTAGAGAGGCTAGAAAATACCAAGCTGTAAGCGCGCTCCCTACCACCCCACCCCTACATGGCCTGGTGAGCTTTGGTTCATGCTAAATGTTTACAATCGTAGAGCCGGGTTTAGTGACGGCTACTAGGGGCAGATAATTTAGTTTGAAACGATTTTAAACTTAGGGGAGGTAACTAAGTGGAGGCTGCTTTCACTGGGGGGTGTGTAGGGTTGGGGGAAAGGAGGGTGAGGGTAGTATCGTCCTTAACAACCTACTGATAGTGTTTTAAAGCAAATATTTTCAATGGCAGCATTGGTACTGTCGAATTCACAAATTATGAACAACCAAATAGCGGCGTATGATATGCCACGGGTAGACTCGTTGTAACTAAAATTGATCCAGTTATATTATATTGAATGCGACCAGTTCATACATTTTAAAGAAATCGTTTTAAAAACTATAATTATTGGGGATGAAGCCTAATACGTGACTTTATTTGTGAATGGACCTTACACAATGACCAGCATTATGTCCGTAACAGTGTGTGTGGGGGGGGGGGGTTCCTAACACACACCCCATAGACCCCTCGGTATATATATATATATAAAGTATGAGGGGGGGTGCAAATCGAAAGTTTGTCCCCGGGTAAAAATTGGAACCCCCCCCCCCCTTTGAGACGATCCTGGCTACGCCACTGGTCCGTAATGAGGTTCACAAGCAGAGTAGTGTTTGTGTTTTCCTACTTCACACTTGAGTTGGTAATTGGCTAAAAAAAAATACTAGCGAATATTATACACTGTGCAGCCAACAATACATATTAAAAAAGTGGGAGATGTTAAAACATGTTTTAAATTGACCCGCTGTTTTGTTAATTAATCTAATTATTTTTCGTATGTTACATGCACTATCTGATGCTCTATGTCAACTAAAATTAAATATTAAAATTTACAACGGCTCATAATGTACAAGATTTTCATCTAGATAATGATGATAACAACACTTTGAACCTAACGAATCTTTAATATTATGTTTAAAGGCGAACGATGATGATCTTAGAGTTTCATCTGTAAGTAAGCATTTTATCTAATATTCTAAGGTGAAGGAATTTGATATGAACGTGGAATTTGGCAATGAATTATAACTTGTTTGATAATCTATTGCATTAAAAAAAGGGCAATTTAAGGGAGATAACTACTAAGCGAAAAGGTAAAATTAACTATCAAAATTAAGACGGGCATAATAAACAAAATACAAGGTTGACAATTTGTAGTTGATAAGAATAAATATCTTCTAATATCAGTTATGTATTTGTTAAAAAAATAATTTTAAAATACTTAACACAGTATGTTGTTTGAAAATATAAAAACCTTAAAATTATTTAAAAATTAATTCAGACAATTGAGAAATCTTTCAACAAATATCAATTTCTGTCATAAACCGTCTCAAACTTTTTTTTTGGATCCCAAATAATTATGGAACATCTTTATCAAAACCAATGTGACAAGTGACGGCGCTAACCGCTAACCCCACAGTCGCATGTTCGAATTCCGGGTCCGTAAGTAGCCCCCGTATCCACCCCGCCAAAATCATCACCGACCAAGATATCACCCTCTATGTCGAGGTCACAAAAACAGGTTAACTCCACTTCATTTGCCATAAGACCTCTTGGTTTGAAAGAGCGAATTCTCATGAGCACAAATACATGAACATCATAAAAAATCAGCGAAAGCAATAAACTAAAACAATAATATAATAGATTTAGAGAGCAAGATTAGAGAGAGGAAAATAAAATTGTTGCTTTTCGTTTCAAGGGTGAATGTGTTTTTTTTTAATTGGTTAGGAAAAACCCAAATATAACGTGATAGTGATACTTTTGAATGTTTCACTACAAATATTTCAACCAGTCTCGGACTCTTTGTCACAGATGTCCTTGGTATTTTGTGTGACAACTCCACAATAGACATACAGTATGTTTACATTTCAAGACCAAGAAAATAATAAAATTAAATTGTATTATGGTTTTATAAAATCTTAGTTATAATAGAAAAAAAAACAATTTAAAATGTACAGGTCTTCAAATTTTAGTGAATATTAATCTAATGTAAATGAATTTTATGTCGATATGACATTAAAAACAATCTCCTTTTTAAACCTTTTAAAAAAATTAAACAGAGGATCTAGATAAAAAAAAAGAGTTAACCTTAAACTAAATAGCTAAAATTAATCAATCAGAACTAAGACACCAATAAGATGATAAACACGAGTAATAGGCGATGAAATGTATGTGTTGAACCCAAGTTTTGTTTAGCAAATAGCTTAAACAAAAAATAAGTGAACAGAGAGAATCAGTGTTTCTTCCAGACTTTTTTCTCCAGGGGGGCACTTGAAATTTTCGGGGGGGGGGGGGGGGGCGGACACTGTTAAAAGTATTTATTTTCTATATAAATTATATAAATTTCATTTCGTTCGGGGGGGGGGGGGGGTGCGGTAGATTTTTTCCGAAGAGATGCCTGGAAGAAACTCTGGAGAGAATCAGATGGTGTCACCACCCCCCTTCAACAGTTTTGCATTTTCCGGTTTGGTGTCACCCCTCCACCATACGACTTTATTGTATTAACTTGTGTTGACAGTAAATTTTACAATTTTTCAATTTAGTGTCACCCCCCATAAATAGACACACCCGGCGCAGTCCGCACCTCCTCCCCCCCCCCCCCCGGGCCTCCTCCTTGTCACCTTGTGACTCGTCTGTGAAGACGATAACAAAGTCAACTTGAACTTACTCCATCTGTATCACATTATAGATCAGTTGGAATGCTATGCGATACATTTTATATTATTCTCTCCTTCCTTAAAAGTTTCAATAGCTCTTTTCATAAAGTCAAACGTCAAAGATTACGAACAGATTTAAAAAAAAAAGACCCACAAAAACAGGCTTAGCAAGTTTGCACGGGTATAACTAACTAAAAGCGACCATTTGTAAAGGTATGTTCCTCCGTGTAGAAAAAACCCCGCCATTAAAAAAAACAAAAAACACAATGCACTCGTTTGTCCAGTTCACCCCTTACCCCGCCCATTTAGGCTATTATGCCCTTTAAACCCACACCCCTTCCCCTCGTTTTTCGTTCGTTTTTTTTCCAATAGAGCCGGGAAAGTGAGGCCCGCCTGACCGTGACTACACGACACCGCGACACGTCTGCTGTGTGCGTTGTGTGCGTGACCTAACTTCCTGCGGTAGACAGGTAACTCCAGTGTTCATAACACACTTCGATAGTACCAGCAACAGGTGGGGGAACCGCCTTTTTAAAGTGTTGTTGTTTTTTTTCCCAACGGATTTTTAACTTTTCATTGATGTGGTTTTAATTTGTGTTTACGCGTGTGTGAGAGTTGTTTTCTAAAATATTGGATTACGCAGCTGGGATGACTTAGGCTGAGGGTACGACTTTAAAGTTAACGGTAAGTTTTTTAAAGTTTTTTTTCAAGTACGACAGCCCTTTAACTGAAGACTCAGAAGAGAATGCTTAAGATAGGACTAACTTAAAAATAAAGTTTGAAAGTAAAAATAACTTTTTTTTTTCCGGGAAACTTTTAGGTAGGTTAAACTTAGAGCCAGAAATTACGACCAAGTCGAATGCTGTTCAGCGTCCATTGAGTCAGTAACTAGAATCTAGATCTAGATCTACTTGTAGATTTAGATCTAGATTTTCTAGTTCTGGTTAGACTTAATACTAATACTAGATCTAGATCTAGACAGTGTTTCTTCCAGACTTTTTTCCTCCGGGGGGGGGGGGGGGGGCGGACACTAGTAACTAAAAGTGTATGTTTACTATATAAATTCCATCTCGTTCGTGGGGGGGGGGGGGGAGATGCCTGGAAGAAACTCTGGATCTAGATTCTATGCTTTAGATCAAATGTTTAAAAATGTTATAAACTTCGGCATAATTTATAGAACTACTATACTATGTATTCCAATACCTCAAAATATTTGCTAGATCATCTCACATGCATTCACAAACTGTACTGTATAGCCGGGTTTTTTCCTGCTTATCACGAGCATTCAATTCATCAATCAATGTGTGTAGCCTATAGATCTGTGTGGGTCAATTTACTTGCCCACCATCCCTCCAGCACTTTAGTGTGTTTACACATAGCCTGACCTATGTATGTTTGTTTTAAACTCTTGGTAAAGTAACGTGAGCGTTTCAAACAGTAATTTATTTGCTGCTAACGAACAACTGTTACTAACATTGAAAGGCGCGGAAACATTACAAATAACCTACCTAGCGTTGGTGAATTTTTAAATAAAGAATCTTGTAAATTTTTGTACGCAGAGTTTCTTCCAGGCATCTCTTCGGGGGGGGGGGGGGGGTGGTAGACTTTCTTCCCCTCCCCCCACCCCCGAACGAGATGGAATTTACATAGTAAACATACTAGTGTCCGCCCCCTCCTCCCCCCCCCCTCCGGAGAAAAAAGTCTGGAAGAAACACTGTAAGCTAAGGTTGTTTATGGGCTGCATCTATTCGAACCCGGGTCCGAATAGCCAATAACACGTTGATTAGT